AGGGAGCCCCAGCCCGCCGGCATGGAGCTCCGTTTTAGGAGCTCCCACCCCCTTAGTCGGCGAGTAACAACTTGCAACCCGAGACGCCAGGCCCTGAGCTGGGAGGTGGCACGGATCTACCTGGAGTCGGAGGCGACAAGGCTGGGGCCAGGGACGCAACTGGGGGAAGCCCGAGGAAAGGTGGGGGGTAAGGGAGTAATCCTGTGGCGGACACGACCTCAAAGACAGAGGTGGAACCACGGGCGCTAGGAACAGCGCGGGGCAGGGAGAGCGGCTCAAGCGACCCGCGCGCTGTCCCCAGCGGTGGCGGTGCAGCTTACCCGGTTGATCTCCGCCAGCCTCCTCTCCTGCCGGGCTTTGAGCAAGCCGAACGCCTTCCCTCCTGGAGGAGACAAAGAGGTGGCCGGGCAGCGGGGCCCTCCGGGGCCACGCGCCCCCGCCCGGTTCCCGCGCGCCGCGCACCCCGCTGTCCGCCCCGCGCGCGCAGGTGGTGGCCCGGGGACGCCGAGCGCGGGAGACCACGGCACCTACCTTGGAACCTGTTGCTGAGCGCGACCGACATCGTGTGTGCCGGGCTCCCGCCGGCTCGGGGCTTCGCGGCCACGGAGAGGGACGAGGAGGAGGGACGCGCGCCTGATCGGAGCTCGGGCGGCGTGTGGCGGCCGGACCGGGGGGCGGAGGAAGGGCGCGGTGGCCGAACCCTCCCCTCCCTGCCCCCGGCCCGCCTCCGCTCCCGCCCTCCCCTCCCGCCGCCCCGCCGCGGGCATCAAAGAGGCTATTATGCGGGACGCGAAGCCCGCGCTGGCCCCTCTGCTGGAGGACGCGGAAAATGCACGGCGGGACCCGCCGTCAGCCCCTCCTTCTCCGCCCGGGCCCGGGCCTCGGCAAGTCCACGGGCAGAGCTCACTTCAACAAGTGGTTGTGAGGCTCAAACGCGGTTCCTGCGGAGGCTGACTCCTTACTGTCGCCTTTGCGCTGTATTGCCAGGATGACACCACGAGCGCTTTAAGTCAATTAGATAAATTCATGTCTTGTTGATAAAAACCCTATTTCTTGGCCGCTCACTTGTGCACTTCATTTCATTCCCCAAACTCTACGAAATAAAAACTACAGAAAAGTCAGGAAGCCGAAAACTGGGCGGGGGTGGGGGCACCAGATGTAAGAATTGGAGACTTGTAACTAGCAAGATCATGAACTCTGGCGTCCAAATCAGGACACTCTGAGAGCGAAGGGCGGGGGGTGGGGGGGTGGTAATTCCTTAAAATTATGTTGGGACATAGACTGGGGCTGTCCTGGGCCAACTGTCTACCTGAGCGCTAGGAAATAGCCCCACCACATCCACTAAAGATGATGCTGGGGATCGCATCTGGGCGATTTCTTTATAGAAATTCGCGAGGACCACCAGTCCCTTAAGCACCCTTCCCTAAAAGCTGGAGAGAGAGTTGCGTGTTGGGGGCAGAGGTGTGGGGCAGGAGCTCACGCATAAGGGCCAACATTTGCTAGCCAATCGAGTCTGTGTTCTCACCGGGTGGAGGGGGGTCCCTATGGCGCCAAAACCCTACACTAATCCATCTGGGCGATCTCCTTCCCCACAGACTTGCCTCTGTCTGGACCCCTACAATTGGGATCCTGGGACCTGATAAGGGGACATTAGTGGCTAGGCTACCCCAGGAAGGAGCTGGGCAGAGGGAATGGGGCAGGTCAGTGCAGACATTCAGAGGACAGGTCTCTGCTCTCCAGAACAGTCTGCGCTTGTTGCTCCTAGGTTACTCTCCCTTGCCCCACTCAAGTCAAAGGTTTGGATCTGGCCAAGCTCTATGACCTTGGACATGGTGTCTGAGCCACCTCAGTCTCCAAATGGACAGAATAGAAGAAACAAGAGCTTCCCACTAAGAAGCTGTTAATATTTGTATTACTTCCTGGGTGGTTTAAGCATGGAGGAGAGAAGGGCTTCAGATACAACTCTTGCTGATGAGAGCTGTTCCACCTGGAGGCCAAGGAAGAGAGAGGACTTAGAATAGTGCTCGCAAGACAGCCCCACATCCTGGCTCAGAGAGCCTATTGCCCTGGTCATCCAGTTGGCCTCACTCAGGCATCATGTGGGGTGTGGGCCACCCCACCTTCCTCTGTTCAGCTGTTAGACTGCATTGCTAGCCAGATGTTACATACCACCCAGCCACGAGCGGCCCCACCTCTTGGGCCGAACTGTGGCTCTGCACACAGCAGGCATGATCAGGCCTGAGGCTCATCGCTGAGGAATGGAGAGGAAGCCTGTTCTCCACCCGTCGGGGATGCTGGGATTGGATTTCACTGAGCCCCACGGCTTTAGTGGATAGAGGCCGAATGCCAAAAGCAGACATCAGAATGTCTCCGCAGAGAAACTGTGGGTTGGGGCCAGGGAACAGCAGAGCCAGTCACAGAGGTCTTTGTCCCATCTCCTCGGCATCACTTAAGCCGACCCCAATTGCCAAACTCCCTGTGGAGCAACTGCCTCCTGTCTTCAGTCTTTTTGTCCTCACCTTGAAAATCTACCAAGTCTCTCCCACTCAGCTTAATAGTCTCCACATCAACAACCCCCCCCCACACACACATCTTGATTTTAAGGCTCTCGGTAGAGGACCACACCTCTCTTTTGAGCACCAGCTAGTGTGGGAAGCCATCTGTCATTACATGGCCTTCAGAGATCCAAGTTATCCTGTACGTGGCTGGGGGAAAGGGGGAACCTGACTTGAACTGGGTCGGTCTCTCCTGGGAAGCTGGAAGCAGCACCGGGTGTCTCCTGCAATCACCTGACCTGATGACATGCAAACTCAAGGCTTTGGGGGAAAAGCAGGGGTATCCTCTACCATCAAGTGCAAGCAAAGCAAAGAAAGTGACTCTGCAAAAAGGATGGACCAAGGCAAACAGAGAGAAGCAGAGACCAAGGCCAACGGGGGAGGCAGGAGAAGGAAGAGGGAAGCCGGCCATCCCAGTGGCCCCAGGCCCTGGGCTCCAGGCTATCTCCAAGGTCTGGCAGCCTTTCCCACCCCGGGGGTCCAAGAGACCCTCCCAACCAACTCCCCTTTTCTGCTTAAACTAATTCAGGAAGCCTTTGGCCTTGCAGCTTAGAGCCCTAAGATGAACACGATCCTGCTGTTCAACCTAGGTTTCCACAGTGACCCATGCTGACCAGGCTCCCACTCTGTAGCCCTGGGCTATTGCCCACCCTCTTGTCTGGAATGTTCCCTCCTCTGTCTCCCTACCACCTTCTCAACGGATCTCTTCTTGCTGTGCCACTGGACGCTCAGGTTTTGTTTTGAGATAGGGTCTCACTATGTAGCCCAGGCTGTCCTTGAATTCTTGATCTTCTTGCCTCAGTCTCCCGATTGCTGGGATTACAGGCACGTGCAGCCACACCCAGCTTTGACACTCAATTTTAAGGTCACTGTTTTCTGCCATAGTGTCTCCACCCTGAACCAGAAGTCAGCTGAGGGACTCTCTATACCCCACCCCTCAAACTTCCCCAACTCTTAGGCTTTGTCTGGCAAGTTCCCTGTATCCAAGAAGAAAGGTGGTACCTGTGGCTGCAGGACCCCAGCAAAGTCCCCCAATGGCAGACACTGGTACAGCATGAGCTCAGCTTTGCCACCTTCCTTTCCTGTGTGTGGATGAGAAGGATCACCAAACATCTGCTCCACCTACTTGCTGGGCCACCTACAAGCAGTGCCCTGAGTGCACCCACAGCCAGGGACCTGGCTGCCCACCAGCAGTGCAGGATCAAAGACACCACCCAGCTCAGAAATGGGTCTTTTATTTCCTTATCATCGGAACTGGTCCACGTTGTTGCTTGTTCCCCCTACATCCAGGGGAGGGACAAGGCCCACAGAGGTGCCTGTCATCTCAGTGCCAAGGCCCTGCTGTCTGCTGGAAGAAGGCCCAGGAAAGGAGGAAGAGTGCCAGAAGGAAATGCCAGGGAGTCCTGGGCAGAGGCTGCCATGGGTCTGGCCACCCGGGGATTCCTGGGGCAGGATGGACTAGAATAGCAGCCAGGCTTCCACACCCTGGGGCCTCCCTTATAGCAGGTGGAGCCCACAGGGCCAGTTTAGGAAGTGTCAGAGGCTAACTGGGTCAGCAGGGGTGAAAGGGGAAGGGTGGCCTATCTGAGGTTCTATGACCCAGGCCCCTTCAGATGTTAAGGGCCAGTCCTTAGGGCAGGTCACAGGCTGAAATGGGGCTGGGGCCAGAACAGGAAGTCCTCTCCATGAGACTGCCGCAGGCCCAGATCCTGGAAGGGAAGAAAGTTTTATCCCAGTGTCACGGCCAGGAGTGGGTCTTTGCTCTTCCAGCCTTGGAGGTCCTGCTGAGGCCTCAAGGGTCCAAGGGTTCTTAGGTCTCAAATGCCACTGCAATGAGCCCTCCTAGAACCTGTTTCTTGGTCTGCCTGGTCCCCAGCCATTAGAACTGCCGAGTGCATGTGTTGGGCGACCAGAGTGGGGCAGATGCAGTGGACTGAGGCAGCCCGCCCTGGGACTAGGGGCCCTGGCTCTCACTGAGCGCACTCCAGATTTCTGTGGATGTCCCCTGAGTCCCCCAGGTGTTAGCCCTGCTTGGGCATCTGTTCTCTGGATTGAGAGTAGATACGTTCGCTCTGCAGGGAACTTAACATGGCAGGCCTCACCCAGCACTCGCAGGGTGCCCAGTACACAGCTGGCTCTCAACAGCTGGGGACTAACTGTCATGTGTGGGTATGCACCGATGGTCCTGAAAACACAGGTACATCAAATGCAAACATGTGCCCATGCACATATGTGAGGGTGTGGATGTTACTGTCGCCAGAGTGTTTGTGCTAATCCATGTACACACACCGAGATGGCCATGCACACAGGGCCACCGGGAAGGGAGTGTGAGCATTGTCACGGGGCACACGGCAGCCAGCTCTGGTGCATGTGTGCATCTGTGTGGGCACGTGGGGGGGCAGTAAACATCAGGTGGGGGAGCACGTGGGGGAGGGGCTGAGGCCCTCACTGCCAGCTGGCACAGTGCTCAGGCAGGCTGTACAGAATGGCCTCCAAGTTCTGCTTGTCGGTGCGGATCTCAGCAAGGTCACTCTCGAAGCCCTGAATCTGCAGCTCCTGCTGCACGGACTCCTGCTCCAGCTGCTTCAGTTTCTGCTGCAGGGCTCCCTGTGAGCCCAGCTGTAGCCTCAGGCCTTCTAGTGCCCTCTGGGTCTCATTCAGGGCCTGGGCGGGGGCTTGATGGGTGTCCAGCGACCCTGCAGAGGGGCACAGACAGCTTCAACAGGAGCTGGCTTCCCACAGGCTTAGACCTCCAGGAGTCTGACTGTCCACCAAACACCAGAAAGCAAGGCGACCAAGGGGCTGTGGGAGGGCGTGAGGGCCTGGGCATCCCACTAGGCTCATGTGCAGACTTGGGAACTTGTCTCTCTGGGTGGCCCTGGACAACTACTCACTTCTGTGGACACTGTGCTATTACTGTCAAAAATGAAGCCCTCACCAGACACGGTAGCTCATGCATGTAATCCTAGCTACACAGGAGGCAGAGATCAAGAGGATTACTGTTGGAAGCCAGCCTCCGGCAAATAGTTCCGAGACCCTATCTTGAAAAACCCCTCACAAAAAAGGGCTGGTGGAGTGACTCAAGCAGTAAGAGCACCTGTTTAGCAAGCATGAGGCCCTGAGTTCAAACCCCAGTGCCACCAAAAAATAAAATAAAAAAGTGAGTCCTCTTGGGGCCCATTTCCTCATCTACAAACAGTGTGTGAGAGAGGACACATGGTTCCTGCTGCAAAAGTTCACAAAGAGTTTGTAGATACCACCTGTGTGCAGGTGCAGACAGGACTGGGGAGGCAGATGGGGCAGCAAGGGATGCAGGTATGGAAAGCAGGCAGTGGAGTTCCAGCCCTAGTTCTTCTTCTTGGGGTCAGGGCTTCCCTGAGTGTCACCAAGCCCTAGACAGAGGTAGAGCCAGGTACTCACATTAGAACTCAGTGTGGTTCTAATGGACTGCCTCCCTACTTGCCTCTCATCACCTTGTCATTAGATGTGACTTTCAGGTGGGAGAGTAAAAGGGGAGTAAGTCCCAAGTGGCTTCTAATCCTACCAGATCCCTCTGGGTCCCAGGGTTCCCCAGGACTCTGAATCTCTCAGACAAGGAGGCTAGTTCTGAGGGCAAGAAGCAGAGAGGGGCTGTTATGGTTTGAGTATGAGATGTCCCCAAAAAGCTCATGGGTAGAAGGCTTGGTCCTCAGCTGGTGAATCGAATCATTGAGCAGTGATTGGGTCATGAGGGCCCTGACCTAATCAATGGATTAATCTGCTGATGGATTCACAATGGGATGGTGTCACCAGGAGGAGGTGGAAGTTTTCAGAGGCAGGCCTGGTTAGAGAAGTAGACCACTGGAGGAGTGTCCTTGGAGGCTGTATCTTTTCTGAGCCCCTATCTGTCTTTCTCTGTTTCCTGGCCATCATGAAGTGAGCAACTTTGCTCTGTCACACCCTTCTGCCATGATGTTCTGCCTCACCGGGGCACAGAAACAATGGAGCCAGCTGACCATGGACTGAAACTACGAACAAAAATAAAGACCTTGAGAGGCCCCACTGTCATCAAAAAGTCCAAGCAGCCCAGCCTATGAAGAGATTCCCAAATAAGTTACAACCACGATCCTACCTGTCCAGGCTCCCCAGGGCTCCCGGGCCGGGGCCGGAAGCACGTTGTTCATTCCCACAGCCCCGGTCAACTATAACGCTAGCATGGAGCTTGATGAGTGAGTGCAATGACCACAATGGCTGGTCAAGGGGTCTACACTTGCACAGCGTTCCCTCCCTGCCAGGCGCCAGGTATAGGTCAGTGGCTATGGACAGGAGACGCCAGAGTGGCTTGTGAACCACAGCTGTCTGGCTGATTGGCTGTGGAACCCTGGGCACATTATCTAAGCTCTTTTTGACTCAGTTTCCTCACCTGCAAAGTGGCAAGAGATTAACTGCCCTTGTGTCAGAGGTTAGTGTGAGACTCTTGCAAGGTCTCCTGTGGCCCACTGTCCAGACAGACACAGGACATGCAATGACGCATAATGATAGTGAGATTTCATGCTGTCACCCGAAGTGAAACAAGCCAATCGAGAAGAGCAAATTCCGTGTGAATCACCTTGGGTGACTTACCTAGAGAAACCAAGCCATAGAAAGGAAATGATAGGTGCCAGGGGCTGGGGACGGGGGTGGAGGGGAGTTAGTATTTAATGGGGCAGCCTTTCAGCCTGGGAAAATGGGAAGGTTCTGGAGATGGATGGTGGCAGTGGTGGTACACAGTGTGAATGCTCTTAGTATCACTGCGATAGCTTGGATCTTGAATGCTCAAGTGTCCCCAAAGGCCCACATCCCAAAGGTTTGGTCCCAGCCTGTGGCATGATTAGAAGGTAGTGCAGCCTTTCAGAGGTAGGGCCTAGTGGGAGGAAGTTAGGTCATGGGGGGGTTCCTGCTGCTTCCAAGGCCACCATGATGTGAACAGGCCTCCTTCACCATGTGCTCCTGCCATGAGGGACTGTGCCCCAATAGGACCGAAGCAACACGGGGTCAAGCAACAATAAGCCAAAATAAATCTTCCTTTCCTTCCTTCCTTTCTTTCTTTCCTTCCCCTCCTTTCTTTCTTTCCTTTCCTTCCTTCCTTTCTTTCCTTTCCTTCCTTTTCTTTCTTTCCTTCCTTTCTTTCCTTTCCTTCCTTTCTTTCCTTTCCTTCCTTCCTTTCCTTTCCTTCCTTCCTTTCCTTTCCTTCCTTCCTTTCCTTTCCTTCCTTCCTTTCTTTCCTTTCCTTCCTTCCTTTCTTTCTTTCCTTTCCTTCCTTTCTTTCCTTTCCTTCCTTTCTCTTTCTCTCCTTCCTTCCCTCGCTCCCTCGCTCCCTCCCTCCCTTCCTCCTTTCCTTCTCTCTCTCTCTCTCTCTCTCTCTCTCTCTCTCTCTCTCTTTCTTTCATGCTAAGGATCATATCCAGGGCTACAACTCCAGCCTACCTTTCTTCCTTTTAAGTTGATTATCTCAGGCGTTTTGTCACAGTAACAGAAAGCTGACTGGCACAACCATCAAACTGTACACTTAAAAATGGTTGTAACAGTAAATTTAATGTTACCTGCATTTTATCACAGTTTTTTTTTTAAATGCATGCTGTTCATTTCAGCCCAATTGCTCTGACCATGAGGCCTCTGGAACCTCCATGCAGGGTGAGTGCTGTCTTTCAACCATAAGGCCTCCTTGTTGAAGCCCAGCTGGAATTTTCCCTCCTTCCTAAGAACCACTGCTTGGTGACTCTCACCACAAATCGTGCATTGTGCTAAGCACTTCCTAAATTAGCATCTGTTACTCCCATTTTACAGACAGGGGAACTGAGACTCAGAGAGGTGGGTGACATTGCCCAGGTCTGACAACCAAGGACGAGCCACATCCAGATTTGAACCCTGGTCTGTCTAATTCCACACCAGTGCCCGAACCTTAGGACCCCTTGTTTCTGGGATGTTCTTTTAAACCCTCCACTACTGGGCTGACCTGTGCATCTGGGTTGCAGAGGTGTTCCTGCAAGTGGTGCCTTTCCTGCATCTCCAGTCGTGCCTGACTACAGGCCCTGGAGGCACACAGAGTTATTCCTAGTGAAACCACATGTAAGCACACACCCTGCCTTGCACGGGGACCTGAGTGGTTTCATTTAAAAAAAATTTTTTTTGCAGTACTGGGGTTAGAATTCAGATTTTTATGCTTGCTAGACAGGTGCTCTACCACTTGAGCCACACCCCTATCTCTCTTTGCTCTGGTTATTTTGGAGATAGGGTCTCTCTTTTTGCCCAGGCTGCCCTGAATCTCAATCCTCCTATTTTAAGCTTTCCAAAGTAGCTGAGATGACAGATATGTACCACCAGGCCCAGTCATTGGTTAAGATGGGGTCTCTTGAACTCCCTGCCCTGGCAGGCCTTGAACTGAGATTCATTAGACATCAGCCCCCCAAGTTACTAGGATTATAGGTGTGAGCTGCTAGTGCCCAGCTTACAAATGCTCTTGATGAACTATGGGTGGGGGGGGTGGGGAATGGTGGGATGTGGACCTGAGAGAAGTTTCTCAGGGCAGTGGCTCATAGGAAGAAGCCCCCAGAGATTCAGTCTTGGTGGTGGTGGTGGGGGGTTCCTTACCCAGCTTGGCCAACAGCTCTGACAAGGCCTTGATGTCCTTCTCCAGGGAGACTCGTGATGCCCGGATCTGCTGCTCCACCGTGCTCAGCCCTGCACCCACCTGGGAGGAGGAGGGACAGTTGAGTGGCTCCCTCCTGGCTGCCAGACTAAGGGACTGGTATGGAACCCTGGCACACCTACCTGCTCAGCTGTCTCCAGCTCCTTCTGGCGTATTCCAGAGATTTGCACCAGCCGGGAGGCCTGCTGGAGTGTAGATTGTGCCTGGCCAGCCAGCCGACTGGCACGGCGGTGCCCCTGTTTCCTGTCCCTCAGCAAAGCCTTGGTGAGCTGAGAAGAGTGAGGGATAAGTAAGTCCTTTCTGAGGTTGGCTGGCCTGGGAAAAAGCAAGACCCCAATCTCCAAAATAACCAGAGCAAAAACAGCTGGAGGTGTGGCTCAAGCAGTAGAGTGCCTGCCTAGCAAGTGCTAGGCCCTCAGTACATATATGTACATAAAAAACCCAAAGAAACAAGGAATGAAAGGAAGAAGAGCTAGAGGTAAGGGTAAAGCGAAACAAGCCCAAGCATGAGTCCTGGTTATGAACCCAGCTGGGCCTCAGTGTCCTCACCATGCTCTGGAGGACAGTAATGACAGCTATGTCATGGGGACCTCTGGCAGTTAGTAAGTGTGGCGTGCTCAGCTCTGGACACCAGGGCAGGGGCAGATCTCAGGGTGTTGAACCTATAGAAGGGCACCTCTTCCACGGCAGTTCCTCTATGGGCTGGACCATGGCTGTCTCCCTGACCCTGACCTTAGCACTGTCCTTGGCTAACAGCTCTGCTTCTCTGCTCTTCTTCTTGGTGCTGGAAGAGAGCGATGCGGCGCTTCCCAGCATCCTCTCTGCCTGCCGGGTCTTCTTTTTTGTGTCAGCCAGGAGCCTGTCCCTGATGTTGCCTGCCTTCCTGTGCAGCGCGGCCTGGTCCCTGCGCTGAGGAAACCGCACTTGTATTCCTGCAAACCAGCAAACATGTGAGGATGTGTCAGGAGGACTGGCCTCCCAACTGACAGCCCACCCAGCCATCACTAAAGACGCCTGGCCAACTCTAGACAATGGGAGTGGAAGTCCAAGTGCAGGAGATCTGTGTGTGACCCTCTCAGTCTCACCCGGCAGAAAACAAGATGTCACTCAGCGAATTATAAGATGTCTATTATATTACGGTACCATTAAACTCAGGAAACCCCACGGACCAGGGGAGCGGCACAGCTCAGTTCATGGACCAGGTGGTCCAGGAACTTACTGTGTTATCGTGGGTTGGCAATCCTTCTGCCTCTGCCTCCACGTGCTCAAATTATAGGCACGAGCCACCATGCCTGGCTCAGCTCTACGTTTTCACTACCATCTACTTCAAACAAAGCTTTGAGCTCCGTCTGTTAACAGATAAACCCACAGTGAGATCACTACAGTGAAAAATCAAGTTCTGTACAGAACTGGAGCAGGGAGGATGAGGAAGAAAGAGGAGTGGGACGGATCGAATTTAGGTAAGGACATGGTAGAGACCAACTGCACTTTATCGCCAAGATCCCAAGTGGCCAAGATAGAAGAGGAAATGTCCCAATTCTCATAGATTTTACTGAGTAAGAAGTAGCCTCCCCCCACCATGGCAAAGAGAAATACTCCTACCCTTTTCCTTTCCTTGCTGACAAAATTCCAAGGGAAGCTTATCGTAAGAGTTCTGGCAACAGTAGATAAAAGTCAATTTATAGAAAGGATCAAGACTTCTTATCTCTGGCGGTATATCATGGAATAGTTCTATGCAAAAATTAGATCCCTTTTGCTTCCTGTGCATAAAACTGGTGTCTCCAGGGCTGGGGGTGTAGCTCAGTAGTACAGCACTTGCCTACCAAGTGGGTTCCATCCCCAGTACAGGAAAAAGCAAAACAAAAACGAAAGCCCTAGAGTTTCTTATAGAGCACTGATACACGTCGGGGGAAATGTGAATTCCATTTAAGTCGAGAGAACCAGGTTTCTTTATTACAAGACTAGGGACGTTAATATTCTAAAATGTGTGTTGTACGACCTCCAGAGAGCGCTGCAGCTGGAGACATTTCCTAAAATTTGAACACACACCCTCCACTAGTAGAGCCTGAAGGAACAGAAGCCACAAATAAAGGTGGAGGAGGCTTCTCTCTAGAGCACAGAGGATATCACAGACACCCATGGTGCATCAGGACGTGAAGGGGAAGAATCTCAATGCTCAGCTCTGACGCAGGGATAGATAAGTGCTTCCTTTCCTCAGTCTACCCATCTGTAAAATGGAGGCACTTAGCTTTGTTTTCCTAAAGCACAAAGGAGAACTGGTCTGACATCAGCCCACATTCCCTTCTAAAGAGAAACTATCCCCTTCCTGTAGTCCCAACTCAACAAATGGACCAAGGCACCCATATTTGTACCAGGTAAGGAGCCCCTGGCTAGAATGGACTACACCAGGCGTGGACAGCCAGTGGCATCAGTTCTCTTCCCACCTGATTCTGAGGGGCTCTGCATGTGGTGTGATGCCACTGGTGGGTAGGGAGGGTGGCCAAATGGGCCAGTACCCAGTGAGCAGTGTGTGACATAGGGAGATACACAGCCATGAGAGAGGTCCTGAGAGGTGCCTTAGGCACACATGACTGCCCACGCCTGCCCTGGCAGAGGCATGTCAGGTAGTTGCTGGGACATTGTACATCCCACAGCCCAGGGCTCAGCAGGGCACACACACCTTCCAGGTCAGCCAGCAGGGTCTTGGCTCCCATGACAGTCACTGTGGCAGCCTGAACAGAGGAGGACGCCTGGGTCAGGGCAGCTGTGGCCTCCTGGTGCAGCTGGAGAGAGGAGAAGCAAGATTGGGTGGCTGCCTGAAGGTGGGTCAGGTGAGCACCAAACCCACAGCTCTCAAAACACCCCCACAACTCTGCACTGCATCACACTGGTTACCAGGAGTGCCTGGTCTGTCTGATTATACAGGTGCCAATCCCTAAATCTACCCCAAGAAGACACCTGGACCACAGAAGCTTCGAGGAAAATCAGAGCACAGGACATAATGGGACGAGGGTCGGCCATACTGCCTCTCTAAACACTGAGAAGTCCAGCCAGTGGCTGTGAAATGGCCAATACGGCTCTTCCTCACAGAGAGGCCGTGTCTCCTCCACGGTCACCTGCACTAGGGGCTTAAAGAAAGTGTGGTTCATCCACGCAATGGAATATCCTCCATAAAAGGAAACTAAGTATTGATCCATGCTACAATGGAGGAGAACTACGTCACAATAAATAAAGGATGTCTGACCCAAAAGGTCATATGTCATGTGTCCACTTCTGTGACACACCTGCGAGAGGTATGTCCACAGAGGCAGGGAGCAAAATGGTGTTGCCAGGGGTTGGGGTTGGGGTGGGGAATGGGGAGAGTACGGGTTTCCATTTGGAGTGATGGGAATGTTCTGGAACTAGATGGAGTAGGGGTGCCAGACACTGTGACTGTGCTAAGTGCTGCTGAATGACACACTTGAATAGGGAAATTTTATGTTTCACTGCAAATAAATAACATGGGTTGGAAAAGCCACCAAGCCTGCCTCCTTCTTACTCCAAGGTGTAGCTGGATGGGAAGGAGGAAGAGGGTGGTGGTGGTAGCGGGCAGGCACCTGTACACGGGGTCTGGCCCTGATTGTTGTACTACAGCTCTTGGAGGGGTCTGGGGAGTCACCCCTCTTCCTGGCCTCCTCACCTGTGTTGAAGGTAGTGGACAAGATTAGGGGGTACAACTGGGGTCCCCAACACAATACTCTCCAGGTTTGTGCCAGGCCCTGGGCCCAGCTCCTCAGATACAATCTCCCTCCTCTCAGAGAACTAGTTTCTCGTGTTTGAAGGACACCGAGGAGGCTCCCAGAGTAGCCATGTTAGTATGTGGTTGGGTAAAATACCAACCTAAGGGAGCCCATGTGAAGGGTGTAGGGGAAGTCCATGCTTTTTTTTTTTTCAGTACTGGAGTTTGAACTTAGGGCCTCCATCAGCCGTTTTGGTTTTGGTTTTTTGTTTTTGTTTTTTGTTCTTTTGTAATGGGTTTTTCAAGATAGGGTCTTGGGAACTACTTGCCCAGGCTGAATTTGAACCTAAAATTCTCCTGATATCTGCCTTCTGAGTAGCTAGGATTACAGGCATGAGGCACTGGTGCCCAGCTTCTATGCTCTTTTTGTAAGTCTAAAATTATTCCCAAATGAAGAGTTTTAAAACAATTATTTTAAAGGGGTCATCTTAAATTTTGGGGAGTGAGGGTTTTGCTGGGGTTTGAACTCAGGGCTTTGTGCTTGCTAGGCAGGTTCTCTACCACTTGAGCCACGCCTCCAGCCCTACAGAGGTCTTTTATACTTAATAGGATGGCAACCACTGGCCAAGGGAAACCCACTAGCCATTTTCCTTGAACCCCCTGACCATCTAGGGGTCTCTCCTCGACTGTGAACATCAGTCTATGTGGCTTAGTGCTGTGAGTCCCAGGGACAGCTCAGAGCAGGTGTCACTAATCATGAGCTCAGGAGGAAAGAAATAACAAGAACCATCCAGGTGGAGCTGACACTGAGGGAGGGTGGTGGACCTGTCCCTGGGCACTGTCCTCCGTCCATCCGCCTGTCTATCCCGTCTCCTCTCACTTTGACTCCCTTCTCAGGAATCAGAGTCCTCTCCTTGACTTGGCTGTCTCTGAGGTCCTCTGGAGTTTGGATGAGGCACCAGAGAAATAGGAAGAGATACTTCCTGTCTTTGTCCTCATCCTCCACCCATAGGTACAGATCCTTTTCCAGGGCAGTTGCTACCTCCTCCAGGTGCCTGCTTCAAAGGACAAGAGCTCACCTGCGTGCAAGGCTCCATCTTCTGCAGCACTGCCCGGGCAGAGGCCTGCAGGGCTCCGGTAACCTCGGTGGCCACTCGCTCTCTCGATGCAACTGTCTGCTCCAGGGCCTGCACTTTCAAACCCAGGTCCCTGGCTGGGGACTTCTGAGGCTGCGGGGAGACAGTGGGCTCAGCTGGGGCCTGGGGCCCACTCTCCACTCTGCCAATCCATAGTCCAAGCCTCGGTCCCTGAAGACCCAGAATGCCTGAGTTTGGGACCTCCCCCAGAGGCAGACAAGGGGGGGGCTGAATATGGCCCTAGGAAGCGGAAGGGTCATTGCAGAGACAGGTTGGGGACCTGTCACTGGAGACTCAGACCGCAACCCCATCAATTTCCAGCTGTGTAGCCTGGGTATCTTCAGAGAACTCACCTGCCTGACCGTATTTCCTCAGTTCCAACTGAGACTCCCTCCCCAGACCTGCCATGCTCTGTCTGAAAGCAGGCCACATCCTTCAGAATCAGAATTTTGGGGACTTTATTAAAGCAAACGGTGCAGAAACAGCAAGTGATCCACCCCTCGGTGGCATTTCGGCTGACCACGTTAATGCCTGTGAGTCTCACCTCACACGTGTGGAAGGGCAGTAGCCTGCGGCAGGAAGTCTGGGTCAGGCTGTGTCCCAAGGGCATTTGGATCAGCTTACCACTTTTATTGTCTTGGTACTGGGATGGAACCCAGGGCCTTGCACACACTAAACACACGCTCTACCACTGAGCTGTACCCACCCCGCTTCAGCCAGCTTTCTGCTTTATTACAGCTAAATTTCTGAGCTTGGGGATTTCAGGATTACTGAGCAGACAGGCTGGTCTGGATGTCTGCAGAACTGATGAGTATAGGCTGATGGGCTCAGAGTGGATGACCGAACCCCCTTCAGTCCCCATTCCTAAATAATAACCGATTGGGCAAGGTCCATGGGACCCTCAAGGTCACTGAGGCCAAGGAAGGAAAGTTCTTGACCAAGGTCACAGAGCCAGAGAGGCGAGCTAGGATTTCATTCCCTGTCCTTCTGGTGTCCTTGCTAATGTCACCAGAATGGAGGAATCTCCATGTCATTATTGTAATCAGAATGAAGTGCTGAGCTCTGTTAAGTGGATGACTATTTTTGTTTGTTCGTTTGTTGTTGAGACAACACTACATAGCCCAGGCTGGCCTCGAACTTGCACTTCTCCTGCCTCTGCCTTTACAGGTGTGCACCACCACACCTGGATGTATTCTCATTTTAATTAACTGCTATATTGTCAACAATAACCCACATCCCCTGCCTTGGCCTGAACCCTGGTTTCTCTAGCCACTAGAGTGCCCCCTCCCCCATGCAGAGCTCCAAGGACTCCAAGCTGACCAGTGCTCCAGGAGCAGCCAGTGAGGCAATGTGCAGAGATGCATCACCAATGACTTGCTGCACACCGGCCAGCAGCCTCTCAGCTTCGAGCAGCACCTCTGCTACAGCTGTACCCAGAGCGTTGTGGGCTGACTGAACCGCCTGGTACCTGCAAGGAAACAGTCCAGCATGGCCAGTGGCTCAGGCTTAGGGCTATCTCTCCCCATCACTGTCTGGGCCCCTGACTGGAGCTCTTGATTTGCCCGGGCCTCTCCAACTTCTTGGGCAGAATCAGACTGTGTGGATTGGTCCCCTATTGCTCTGCAGCTTCCAAATTAGCTAGAAAGGCAGTGAACAATCCCATTCTTCTCTCTCCAGTCAGCCAGTCCAGCCACTTTGCTCTGAGAGGGCCCCTGCTTGGCTCCACCTGAGAATCGCATGTTTTGGAAACATCTGGCTCCTCCAGATGAATTGCAGAATCAGCCAGGTTGGATGGCCCAGGATGGTGACCTTGGGCGTGTCACTCTCCACTGGCAAATGGAGAGTGGACTTCATGAGTACTACATTCCTTTAGCCCTCAAGGCCTTTGTTTCTGTCATCAACAAGAAAATGGGTTTCCTGTCCTGGCCAGTTGTCCACACCCTGACCCATCATGGGCACCACTGGGTGGAGCCCCGGCTTCCTTCCCACCCTTCACCTTCCCAGAAGTGGAGGTACTCCTGTCCCTGGGGGTGGGTCATGAAGACCTCACCCTAGCCATGCCAACTGGTTCAGCTGGGCCAGATTCTCTCATCTAGGAACAACTTGGGACTCAAACAAGATACCCTGGAACTTAGAGGGACATAAGGGGCCACCCAGAGCAAAAAGCCAGATTACCTGGTCTGCAAAGGCAAAGAAGGAAGCTGATGCCAGGGAAGGGCAGACGTGCTGCCTGGGCATGGGGGTGGGGAGGACACAAAGCCTGCTGCAGAGGAGGGAGGGATTTGCTGCTCCGGCAACTACTTCGTGTCTCCTCTGTCAATAGGCCTGAGATCCTGTGGTCCCCTCCAGATGGGACATGGACCCCAGAAACCATGACCAACCACAAAGAACAGCAAGACTCAGGAGTTGTCAGTTCAGGAACCACCAGCCAATGGCTGGGCCTTGTAGGCTCATGGAGGCCAACCCTAAACTTCCACCCTCACCTGGGGAGGTCTCACCTGTCCTCCAGCTCCCGCTGGGTCTCCAAGGCCACTCTGCCATCCACCAGACTCCAGAGGAGCACGGAGCTGCTGTTGGAGGCGAGCAGGGCCCGCTGTGCAGTGGCTTCAGTCTTGGTGGCAGTGTCCCTGTGGCTGTAAGAATTGCCCCAAGACCATTACCACAAGCCCACATGGATGGGGTGGGGCTCAAACCACATCCCCACTCCACAGGCCTCCTGCAGGACAGATGCCTTTCTACCTCCTGCCTGCCTGGCACATGGTGGAGATTGATGGCAAGGGCACTCCACAGCCCTGCTCCTGTCACACATCTGGTACACCTGTTGTCCCAGCACAGGGACTAACAGGACCTTTCATCACACAATAAAGCATCTCAGTTGGAATGATAAATTGCACAGGCACCACAGAAGAGAGTGGTCAAGACAGCATGGGTTTGGATCTTGGCTTTAAGACTTCCAAGCTGTGTGTCCTTAAGCAAGTCATTGACCACTCTGAATCCATTTCCTCATCTGGAAAATGAGGGTAAGGTTCCTAGAGGTAAAGGGGAAAATTGTTGGGCTGGAGTGTGTGGCTTAAGTGGTAGGTAGAGTTCCTACCCAGAAAATGTGAGGTTCTGAGTTCAAAACTCATACTGCAAAAAAAAAAAAAAGGGAGGGAGTGAACTGCTACAGAGTCTCCATTTTTTAGGATCATAATCTATTTCTTAAAAACAGTGGATGAAACAACCCAAACTTCTATTAATGGAGAGCTGGGCATAGAAAATATGGTATCTCACCACACTGAAATATTATACAGCTACAAAAAAGAACAGAGTACTGATCCATGCTTCAATGTGGATAAGCCTTGAAAACGTGAGGCTATGTGAAAAAAAAGCCACACGCAAAAGCCCACGTTACATGATTCATTCATAAGTGCCCAGAACAAGCAAATCTACAGAGACAGAAAGCAGGTTAGTGGTTGTCAGGGGCTGGAAAGGTTGAAGAGAAATGAAGGATAAGGAAAAATGGGTACAAGGTTTGTTTGGGGGTGATAAAAATGTTTTATATGGCTGCGTGCAGTGGTTCTTGGGAGGTGGAGATCAGGAGGATCAACTTTTTCCTGGGCAAAAGTTAGTGAGACCTCTTTCAACAAATCAGCAGGGCTTGTTGTCGTACACCTGTCACCCCGGCTATCTGAAAGGCACAGATAGGGAGGACTGCAGTCTGAGCCCAGCCTTGGGAAAAAAAAAATGCAAGACCCTACCAGAAAAATAGCTAGAAGGAAAAAGGATTGGGGGTGTGGCTCAAGTGTTGAGCACCTGTTTAGCAAGCACGAGCCGGAGTTCAAACCCCAGAACTGCCAAAAAAAAAAAAAGTTCTAAATTACTTGGGATGGTTGTGCAACTCTGGGAATCTACTGAACCCGCTGAATAGTACAGTGTGTGAGTTGTGTCTTAATAAAGCTTTTTTTTTTTTTTTTAAAAAAAGAAAACCCTAAGAAGATCAGGTGCTTTCCGCGGAGCAAGCTTTGCCCTAAACCTCTGTGCCTATGCTCCCCTCCATTCCTGTCCTTCCCATACTGGTGACCTTTGCTCCCTACCCAGCAGCTCTTAGACTGATCTGATCCCAACTCCTGGTAGCTGACCCTGACCTGAGAGGTCCCCTCAGAAAGGCTGGGTCCCTGATGATTGTGGGGTGCAGACCCCCCACACTCTGGGACCTCAGGGCTCACCTCCTGGCGAGGGTGCGGGCCTCTGTGGCCAGGTGGGTCCAGTTGGTGGGCTGGCCAGGCCAATCCTTAAGAATTACCTTTAGAGAAAAGAGGAGGGAACTGAAGGTCCACCCTGGAAGGGCCAGCACCACATCTGGCTAAACTAAGGGGCAGAATGGGATGATGCCAGTAATTTTATGAATGTGCAAAGCTAGCCACAAAGTGGGCATTGGTGGGCAGAGTCCTCAGTACTGAGAACGATGCTGCCTGCCCCTTGCTGTGTGCTCATTGTCTCCTCGGAATGCCCTTTGTTCTTTGCAAACATTATCTCCATCAGTGCAGGAGGCACAGATGATACTGAGCCTCCCAATAGACATCGAGGCATTCCTACAGTCACCAGGGCAAGGGCTGGACTGGGCCAGGACCCATGCCCAGGCTCAGTGGGGAAGGGCTGGGTACCAGAGATGTGAGCGCTGAGGCTGCATGCCGGATCTCCTCCTCTGAGGATGCCAGTGTCGCTCCCAGCTCGGCCAGCTGGATGCAGGTCTTCTGGGTTCTGTCCCGGGCACACTGGGCACTTGTGCTCAGCACCCGCAGCTGCTCCTGGGTGGCCTTCATGGCACCCTCAAGGCCTGTCATCTGTTCCAAGAAGGTTTCTCGAACCCCTGCAGAAGCCCACAGCCCCAGGGTCACAGAATAATCGAGATTCCACACTAAAGTCCCCAACCTGGGTGCTCGTCTGTGCTCTCCACGTTCCCTGGCACAGCTGAACCTCATCGCCAACCAGGGTGCCAACAGTGAGTTCCAAAACAAAAGCATACCCATTTTACACGTGTAAAGGCTAAGACCCAGAGAAGGCAGATCACGACCCTAGGTCCTACACACAGCAAGTCAGCCACAAACGAGGTACTGGAAGGGACCCAGGGGTTCTGAAGCAACAGTGAGCAATTCTGGAACCTAACCCAGTCAGTTCAGTAGTTTCCAACAAGGCTCATGTGTGTACATTTTAAGACCTGCCATCTGATTGCTCCCTCTTTTGATAGTCCTGCTCAACCCTGTCTGGCTCCTTAAGGAATTTAGGGCTTGTAAACATAAATTTCCACAAAAGCAATTAATTTGTTTTCAGCACTTTCTAAATTTTCACATTCTACCTGGCTTTAGCATCTTTTTTCTTTGTCACTCATTTATTTTTTGTGTGCCAAGCACCGTGCTAGACACATGGCAGGTGAGGAAGACCCAGATGCTTTCCCAGGTGTCACCTGGAACAGCGCCTCGGTAGTTAACCTGCTGGGCAAGTGATTAAATGAGTGACCCCAGCACTGGATTTACAGTCTGAGTATGCGTGTGTAGGGGGCGATGACGGAGATCGGTGTTAATACAGCTACAGGTGGGCTAGGAACATTGAAGGGGAGGCCTGTGGACAATAGGACTCTATCCTGACAGTCCTCAGAGCATCAATGAGACCAAGCTGAAGACTATATGAAGGGTTCAACCACCCTGCTCCCCCTGTACCTTGCAGCAAATGGTAGCCCTGGTAGACGTCCCCTCGTGGGGCTTCCCCCTGCAGAATGTCTAGTGGACCCCAGGGACTGCTACAGTCAGAGCCCTGCAGCCAACTTTCCATCATTGTCAGCCTGGCTTTCAGCTGGGCCACCTGGAGAGGACAAGGAAGGACAGGTATTTGAGGCTGACTTCTGCTTGGCCAACCCACCAGCCCATCCCTTGCAGCTGTCCCTTCCCTTCTCACAGGGCAGTCAGTGCCCGCTGACAGCCAGCCACACCTCTGACCTACTGTGAGAGGGAAGTGCCAAGCAAATTCCGTTTGTCCTGTTCATTGTGTTCCCAGCACTTGACACACAGCCTCTGCTATGGGCACCTGTTGCCTGTGTGTGTGCCGTGCCACACCCCTGGTCTCCTGCTTTTAGCCATACATATGGTGACTGCATTCGCAGAGTGTGTGTTATCAGCCTGCGGGGTCACGAGTGCCTACAAGGCTCGGGTCACCTCAAAACCACCCTCCGCAGAGGGTTCCAAGTCCTGTCCTTAGTTCCAAAGTCCCGAATGCTCTGACAAAACCAAGGCTTATTCGAGGGCAAATTCTGACTCCTACTCATTGGGAAACAAACCTGCTCTGGGAAAGGCCGCTCGGGGGCGGGGAGGGGGCGTGCTATTGCCCATGTAGAACTGTGAACGTGCCGATGGGGCCGCCCACTAGCCCCACAGGGTGGTAGCTAGCATTCAGCACACACCACCTTCCCTCTGCAATGCCATAGGTTCCGGAAAGCCCACTGGGGTCCAGGAAGGGGATGCAGGCTGGAACTCCCTTCATTTTGCAGTAGGGGAGGACACTGAGACTAACCACAGCTGCCACCCACCTAGGTGCAGGACAACTGATGGGGCCAAGGAAGGAGAAACCCAATGGGTTGACCCAGGCTCAAACTCCTGACTCTGGTACCACCCACCCCCTACTCGAAATCCTACTTGCTCCCAGGATGGCATCACTTCCCCACAAAGAGCCATTTATCATCTCATTCCCACTGAACCCGAGGAGGTATGAGACCTCAGTCCAGGGGGATCTGAAAGGACATGTAACAAGACCAACTTCTGCCCTGTCCACCCAGAACAGGGATGGGCCAGGTGAGGGCTGGGCAGGGATAGCATGGGCCCAGAGGCCCCTGGATGGGCCAGGGAGAAGCTGGCTGTAAGTCAGGGGAGATGGTGACCAGTAGGTGGGGGAAGGTTGACAGGCACATAGGCCCAGGAGCTGTAGAGAAGCAGGTTGTCCCAGCACCCATGGGGGTTGAAATGAACAGGAAGGTAGACAGGCCTGGTCAGGCCCAGGCTGGGCAGCTTACCTGCTCCTTTACCAGGGTATAGCAGGTAGGGCACTCCTGGCAGTGTGTGCTGTCCGCCGTGAGGAAGAAGTTGTCGTGGCAGCGGTCACACTTGTAGCCCACGAAGCCGGGCCGGCACACGCACGTGCTGTTCTCATGGCACTGGGCTGAGACGGCGCCCAGCGGGGAGCACCTGCAAGCTGGAGGTACAGTGGTGCTGGGCACCTGATGGCCAACCCCACTCTGTGACCTCCTCTCCATCCACACCCCCACCTCCCACACACACCCAGCACCTTCCGCTACTCCCTGGTGGCCTAAAGTGCAAACTCCTGGGCTCTTCCCTGAAGATTCTGGTCAGGTCAGAATGGATGACTGAGCCTCATTTATGTCAGTGTACCTAGGGACTTGAGGACCAGCCAGGTCTACAAAGTGCTAACACAGCCCAAATATACAAGTGAGGAAACTGAGTCATACAGAGCCTCAGATGGCTCCTCACACATGGGAATTCAGAGGTGACTTCGGGAACGAGATTCTCAACGTGGCACTCAGACTCTGCCACTCTACACACTTGCCTGCTCTGTGTTTCCATGGCCACGCTTAGAAGCCCGATGCTGTGTTTGGCCATCATCTCCCCTACGACATAATCTTGCCACTGGCCACCTTTGGCAAGGGACCTTGGCCCTACCATCTGACAGCCTGGAAGGACAGAGCTCTCTTACCCCGGCAGCCCTTGGCAGAGAAGCCGAAGAAGCCCAGTTCACATCTGTCACAGGCTAGGCCTATCACACCAGGGCGGCAGGGGCATTGCCCAGTCTGGGGATGGCACTGGTCCTTCTGGGAGCCCAGCAGGTGACAGTTGCAGCTGCCAACAGGAGAAGAAGGCAGGTATGAGGCTGGCTGCAGCCACTCCTAGCCCAGCCTGTGTAGGCTGCAGCCATTCAAGGAAAAGCAGAGTCTCACAGGATACTTACCCAAAAAAAAAAAAAAAAAAAGTTTGTGGGGACAATATGTTTTAGAGGGACTGTAGCCTTCTGCTATTAAGTCACAATGCAATCGGTATGCCAAAGGCTCTGAGAAGTCCTGAAAGGAAGAAACCTGCTTGCCTCCCTCAGCCGCTCCCTAGAGTCTTCCACTGTTCCCTAAAGTACTACTATGGCCAAAAAGGCCACCCAGTGACGGGCATCACTGAGATGGGAATCAGATACCAAACCAGCCACCTGCCCACCTGGACATCCCTTAGAGCTGCTCTTGGCCTGTGTCCTGGACTGGCAGGGCCATGAGCCTGATATCAAGGGACTGTCTCTCTGTCCCCCTTTGGTGAAGGGCATGGTGTACCTGGCAGTGGTTCTGGGGCAACACATCCCAAATCAGGTCCCTCCCTGGAGGCTCTGTGGGGCCTTCTTCTATCCTGGTGAGACACCCAAGGCACCTACAGCACCACCACCTACCTCCGGCAGCCCCTCCCGGGCTGCAGGTCATAGAAGCCAGGGCTGCAGTGACTGCAGTCCCTCCCAGTCACGTGAGGAAGGCAGGAGCACTGTCCAGTCACTGGGTCACAAGGTGTCTGCACACTGATTGAGCCCCCAGGGTGGCAGCTGCAGGCTGTGGGGAGCAGGAAAGGGTGTGTGGGGGGAATAATAGATCATCTGCTCAAATGCTGGGGGTCCAGCAGAGGCTGAGAAACTGGGGGAACCCTGGAAATGGTTCTCATTCAGCCCAGATTCCTAAGCCCCTCTGAAAAATGGCCAAGGGCCACGCTCAAGTCTCAACCCCTTCGCTGTGTCCTTGGAGAGACGGCTCAGAATAGTCATGGCTCTAGATGGCCCCTCTGTGTTTACCCTGAGCCCTGGTGGGCTGAAGAGGAAGCCAGACCTTGGAAGAGATCGCAGGCAGAGCTCTGCACCCCCAGTCTTGGGTCACATGCCCCTGGTTTCCCATCCAGCACAGGGCAGCATCTTGTTCTTGGCCCAAGTAGAATTTTCTGAAGGGGGTCCCATGAAGCAGGGATCAGCAAGGTGTGGGCAGGTGCCATGTGGACAAGGGCTCTGGGGCAGATTAGTTAGGCAAATACCAAGTTTCTTGTTAGCAGGACTTCTGGGAATCTAGTACAGGCTGTGCGTGCTGCTGTCTGATAGGGGACAGGGCTGAGTGTTAACAGATGGTAAGGAAGGGTGGGAGGAGGACAGAAGACCATGGCCCTGTGGATCCCTGAGTCAGCCTTATGTGCAGATATAAGAAGAATGCTACAGAAGGTACCAAAGCGATTAGTTAGGCAAATACCAAGTTTCTTGTTAGCAGGACTTCTGGGAATCTAGTACAGGCTGTGCGTGCTGCTGTCTGATAGGGGACAGGGCTGAGTGTTAACAGATGGTAAGGAAGGGTGGAGGAGGAAGGACAGACCATGGCCCTGTGATCCCTGAGTCAGCCTTATGTGCAGATATAAGAAGAATGCTACAGAAGGTACCAAAGCAGGGGGAAGAACCCCAAGACCAGAGTTTCTAAGATATCAAGGTGGAACAGACCTGGAGAAGAGTGAATCCTTATTCTTTTGCGGGGAGATAGAAAAGGCAAGGCCTTCTGAGCAGCCAGGTGGCTCTGGGAGCTTCCTTAGCCGTCCATCTGGGCACTGGGCCCACCCCACAATCTGGGCACTGGAGACTCACATGTGCATTTGTCTGCTGGTCGCGGGGCCAGGGCGTCCCCATAGAAGCCCTCCTGACAGCGCTCACAGTGGGCCCCCGTTGTGTTGTGCAGGCAGCGCAGGCAGCTGCCAGACCAGGGATCACAGTTGCCCACGGCATTGGGATCCACGTTCCCACTGCACTGACACTGGCGGCAGGGCTGGTGGGGTCCAGAAAGTCCCAATGGGTCCCCAAAAAAGCCATCGTCACAGCTCTCGCAGCGCCGCCCTGCATGAGAAGGGAGCAGGGGTGAGGCACACTGGCCAGCAGTGCCCCAAGGGGTAGCAAATTCTCCAGCAGAGCATGGGCTCAGGGTCAGGCTGACCTGCGGCCAAGTCCCAGAGGGCTGCCCATCAATTGTGCATCCTGGGAAAGCCACTGTGCCTCATCTGTCAGGTAGAGGGGACCATAGCAGTGACCTCCAAGGACCGTTGAGAGGGCTCAGTGAGACCACAAAGCACTTAACTCAAAAGTGCTCAGCAGTGGATGTCACCACCTACTCATCTTCGTCATTGTCACCATCACCATCACCTTGACCATTATCCTCCTCATCTTTGTCACCACCCTGATGGTCACCTTCATGGGCATCTCTCTGTCACTGTAGTCATTGTCATCCTCCTCACCTTAGTCACCATCTTCATCTTCATCATCTTGGTCACTGTTATTTCAACGTCGCCGTCATCAGCACTGTCTCTACCTTCACCATCACCTTCATCATCGTCATAACCATCCAGTGTCATGGTCACTCTCCCTCCTGCCATCCTCTTCCTCGCCTCCTTCGTCTCCCCATCTCAGCTGTGACTACACTTCCTTGTGCCGTTTCTGGCCCCTTTGCCCCTCCTGATTCCTGGGATTTCCTGAACTTCCTTTGGGATGTTCATTTCAAACACCTGCCCTGCCTCCTGAGGTGGACCTGGGTCACTTCCTCTTCTTTCAGACCTCAGGGCCACCATGGGCCTCAGAGGAGATAGTGTGTGAGGCGATTTTTGGAGGGTGGTGGCCTGGGAGATCCGCTCTGGACACAGATGGGGCATACAAAGACATATACAAACTTTTATAAACTTGTTCACCATGTGGTATTAGCCATTCTTTGCAGACCCACCCATCCTTCACTTCTCTACATGAAGCAGGTGTTTCGGGAGGGGACCTACCGCCATGGTCCCCTGGGTGGTGAAAGGATGGGAAGGTTAGGTTGCCTTACTTGCTTGCATTATTGGGGTTCCTAGTTGCATTTTTACACTGCTTTACTTGTAAGGATATGTACTAATTTTGTCATTTAAAAACACATTTATCATTGTAAAGAATAATTGTAGGCTCCCTGTGTCCTCAAGACTCGTCCATTCTCTTGAAATCAAGTTTATATTACTGATGGCAACCTGGACAAGGGCAAGGAGCAGTGCTAAGGAAGAAAAGGAAAGAAAGGAAAAGGGAACTCTGACCAGAATTCAAGGTCAGGGCAAGTGCCTACCTTTGGGGTTCTGAAATATAAACAAAGTCAGGAAAAGGAAGATGGAAGCTGAAGGTGATGAAGCTGGGTTTCCAGAGCTCACCAGTCATGCCCCTGAACAAGGTGTGGACAGCTCACCAGGTAGGAGACAGTTCTGGATATCTGGGAGGGGCTGCAAGGTACCATCTTGGGAAAGGCGGGGATCAGGGCTCGACCTCAGTTCATCCCAACTCAGACGTCCAGGTTTGCTGCCTGTGCACTAGTCTCTCACAAGGCTGGAAGGAGCTAGTGTGGATGAGGGGCTGGCAGAAGACCCCTAACTCACAGTCTACCCAGTGCTTCCCTCTCCACAGCAGTGCCTGCCCTCTGATCTCTTCCCCAGCTCCCTCCCATCCAAGTCTACGTGAGTGTCACCATCCACTCACACTGGTTGGGCTTCACTTGTGCTTGCAGGCCAAGGGGGCCACAGTCAGGGAGCCAGAAAATGTGGGTGGGTTGAAAATGGAGGGGCAGTGTGACAGCTGGTGGAGTGCAGGGTGCAGTCAAGGGGCCTCAATCCCTGTTCTTAGGGTTCCTGCTCTGGGTCCACCTGCCCAGATCTGCTGGCTACTGGAGGCCAGGAAGCTTCCAGAATTACAAGGAAGCAGGTCATTAGCTAGGATCGGTTTAACGTAGCCACAGGCCCCAAATGTAAAACCAGATGTGTAGGGACCTTGATGACATGATGCTAAATGAAACCAGCCAGACACAGGACAAGTGTGGCAGGATTCCACTTCAATGAGATACCTGGAAGAGTCAAGTTCAGAGACAGAAAGCAGAACAGGCGTGTCGGGGGCTGGGGGAAGGAGGAAATGCTGAACAATAATCTAGTGGTACAATGATGAGGGATGACGAAGAAGTTGTGGAGATGGATGGTGGTGATGACAGCACGGCTGCAAAATGTGCTTAGTGAGGCTGAATGTTACACTTCCCGGATGGTTACCGTGAAAAGTTTTGTGTTGTATATTTTATTACAATAAAAAATTCAGAATGCAATATGCCAAGAGCCATTTAATTGTATACTTTAAGTGGATAAATTGTTGGGCATGTGACTATCTCAAAAGCTTTTAAGAAAGATCAGATGTCGAGGACTCCTGCAGCACAGATGAAGAATGGACAGAGGCTGAGAGCTGGGCTGAGGTGTGTGGGTAAGGCTGAGTCTGCTTCACACATTATTTATTATTATTATTATTATTATTATTATTATTGTTTGTACTGGGTTTGAACTCAGGGCCTGGAACTTGCTAGGCAAGTGCTCTACCACTTGGGCCATGTCCCTGTCTTTTTGCTTTTGGTTTGTTTTTCAAATAGGGTCTTGATAACTTCTGCCTGTGCTGGCCTTTGATCCCTCTATCCCCACCTCCTGAGTAGCTGAGGTTATAGGTGCAGCCCAGCTTGTTTTTTTTTTTAAAACAGGACTGGGGTTTTGAAATCAGGGCTATACCACTTGAGCTATGCCTCAAGCCCCCCAGCTTGTTTTTGAAGATAGGATCTTAGTAACTTTTTGCCTGGGCTGGTCTTTAACTGAGATCTGTCTCTGCCCTTCAAGTTGCTGGGATTAGAGACATGCATCATGCATCATCATGCTTTTTAAAAGCTGAAAAAGTTTAACCAAGGTCTCCCATCTTCACTGTGTATCGGAATCTCCTTGGGAAACTTGTTAGGAACACAGATCCTTTTGGCTCCATCTCAAGCCACTCAACCAGGCTCTCAGGGGCCAGGATCCAGCATGGTCATTTTCAAAACTCCCTGGATGTGGTCAAGGCTCAGACCTGCCAGCCACTCTCAGCAGCCTGGGGCCTTTACTATGGGACTCAGTGTCCCCAGTGGCTCACTCCAACCTGCCACCCTCCGAAGACAGGTCCCCACCCCTGGAACGAAGGCAGAGTCAGGGCATCGGGTGAAGTCTTCCCATGAGTCAGGGTGCTGGGCACAAGCCACTCACCTCTCTGGCCTGGGGGACAGTGGGTACACACCACCTCCCTGCTCTCTGGGATGGTCGTGCAGGCAGACTGTCCAGGGCATGGGCAGGGCTGGCAGTCATCGGCTTGGCCTTTGAAGGGGTTGCCATAGAAACCCGGCAAGCAGCGCTCACAGGATGGGCCCTCGGTGTGGTGACTACACAGGCAGATTCCTGAAAGGCAAGACAAGCACCAGCTCACCACTGACTCAGCTGAGAACACCTGAGACGGTGGGCATCCTGGTGGGAGGGTCCACTGAGCACATCCCAGGCAGACTTGGCATGAGAACCCTTCCAAGATGTAGGCAACACAGCCCGGAGTTAAGGAGTCTAGACCTGGAGCCAGACCGCCTGGATTCATGTACAGCACTTACTGCCCATATAAACCTGAGCAAATCATCTAACGCCCCCACACCTCAGGTCCTACCTCCAAAATGGGCATTGACCTCAAAGGGCTTTCATTGGGACTTTTGTTGAGAACACGCATTCAAAGTGCCCCCAAGCTCCTGGCACTCATCTTTTTGAAGCCAACAGGCCACACAGCCAGCACTCATGCTGGTTTTCCTTTTCCCTTCCTCTGTGTCCTCTTGACATCGAGGGACCACAGGAAGAAGGACCTGCTCTGAGGGCAGCACAGACTCCAGCGTCTCACCTTTGCAAGACCTTGCAGAGCTGGCCCTGTGCGGGGTCTGTGGGTACCCAGAGGTTGCCTGGCATCAGAATGGGAACACTGTCCCTGCCCTCTGATGTCTGAAGAGGGAGGATTCTAGAATCCCCCTATCTAGTCTAGCAGCACTTGGTGTCTACTTAGAGCCTGGGGCGCCCAGAAAGGAGACCCCACCATGCGGCTAGAGTAAGGCCTGGCTGTAAAGGGGTTGACCAGCACCACCACCATGACAGGCCCCAACAGCACCCAGCCAGGGCTGAGACAGATAGAATGAGGGGAACCCCAGGGACGGGGCAGGCAGAACAGGGCACCATCCAATGTTGGCCCCTGTCTCTGTCCAGTACTCGTGGGCTCCATCCTCCTCCCAGCTGCTCTGCCCATTTTACGCACAAGGACTTGCATACAGAGTGGGAAGTCATGGCGGGACCAGGGCTCTATGGGGATGAAAATTCAGTCCCATGTCACCAGAGCTCTCTGCTTCCTCAGCAGGGGCTGCCCAAGTACTGTACATGGAAGGATCACGAGGCCTCACCTGGGCTCGATTGGTGATGTCTGCCATGGGCACAGGAAGGGAGGATAGCCCATGTGTTAGTTATACCAGAGATCCCACCTGCTCCATGGAGGCCTGACATGAAAGGCAGGGTGGAGAGGGGCCTGTGTCTAGCCCCTTAGTCCCTGCTGGACACCTGACCCTGACAGAGGTCTGTGTGTCTGCTCCTGCACCGGTAGGGTTGAACAGTTAGTTGTGACCACCTGACCTGGGGCATCCAGGTTGGTGGGAGGTGCAGCTCTGCCACCAACTGGCCACATGGCCACCCTGCAGCTTAGGTCTGGCTGTCCTGCAGGTATCCCTGCAGGAGTCAATGCCTTAAGTGTATGAAACAGTGCCTAGCATGAGGAGGAAGGTAACAACCCCCCTCATTATTTCCTAAAAAGTAGGGGCATCCACTGTCTGCATTTCTCAGGTGAAGACCCCAATCTTGCCTGCTAATGACAGCTGAGCTTTGCTGCAGAGCAGGTCTGTTTTCTGAGTCTAGGCATCTCCTGACCTCCGTTTGGCCTCGTCTTCATGGCCTAGATGGTGGGAACACTGTCACTGTCCCCACTTCACAGAGGGGGATGTAGGCTCCACAAGGGAAGTGACTTTCCCAAGGCTACAGTTGCGAAAGGGTGAGGATGACAGCTTTGTGGCTCTGGGTTGATGTCTATGAGCTGCTGTGACCTGTATGACCTTATCAGTGTTCTGCTGTCACCTGCTGTGCTAATGCCTCTGCTCTTCCTTACAGCACCAATACGTAGCAGGGCCCCGAGGTCTTCCCCAGTCGTCCCTGGGAGAAGGGTGGGTTCGTGGACAGACCACTCCTGCTGATTGCACACGCCGTTTCCAACAGAGCCTGATACTCACATAGACGCCACTTACTGCTTTTGTGACAACATGAAGGGCCCTGGCAGAAGGGAGAGGACGGCTCACTGCCCACCTTCCCCCAAGAGCCAATCACTTGGTGCTTGTGTGAGGCTGACCCTGTACAGGTCAGTCCTCACCTCCCTGTGCCCAGTGGAGTCCTTGGGATGGGGTTTCAGGGACTCACCTGTGTTGGGGTCACAGGTGCCATGCTGGTTACAGGTGCAGGGGACACAGTTGGCATAGGGACCGCCTCGTGGTGTCTCTCTTTTGTACCCTGGAGCACACGATTCGCAGAACTGGCCTGTGTACCCTGGGGGACATGAGCAGGTCTCTACCCAGGAGGCTAGGGGGGAAACCCCTTGCTGGGGACGAGCAGATGTGAGCCGGACCTCACTCAGGAGCACTTGGCCTGCAGAGTGACAAAAGAGAGAAGGAGGGCTATGGACGTGTTTCCTTCTACAGATGTGACAGACCCATGAACAGACAGGCAGCCCAGGGATCAACTGTAAATTTAAAAACAACAGTCAAGTCAAGGGCAGGGGAGAGAACCAGGTGATTTCCAGGGCAAAATGTAGACATGGGGGCTCAGATGTAGCTCAGGGTGGGTAATGTGCTCAGTATGTATGAGGCCCTGGTTCCATCCCCAGCACTGCAAAAATGAACAAACAAAAAATGGGATGGCTAAAAGTTTTGTGGAAAGACATCTACTCTTTGGGTTTTTTTTTGTGTGTGTGGGGGTGCAGCACTGGGGTTTCAACTTAGGGCCTTGCACTTGCTGGGCAGGTGCTCTACCACTTGAGCCACTCCACCAATCCTCTGTTGGTGGGCCTCATGAACTATTTGCCCAGCTGACTTCAAACCATGATCCTCCTGATTTCTGTCTCCTGAGTAGCTAGGATCACAGGTGTGCCAGCTCTCTCTCTTGGGTTATTAAACATATGTAGATTGAAATAATAAGGGACAATTTCTGCCCTCTAATTGGGAAATGTTTTAAAGACCAGTGTGGTGTCAAAGGAGAGCTTTGGGAAGGTTAGGCGATCTGTTCAGAGCTGCTTGCTACCTTCCAGCAAAGTTTAAGGTCTATTTCCTAAAGTTTTAAGTATTATTGGAGGTACTGAGACTGATAAAGATAACAGTTCAGTAACTTAAACATTTGTTATTAGTGGAAGGATTCTGACTGCGAAGAAGCTAATTAAGTAATTAGCAGGAAGGCATCAGTGTGAGTTCTTAGACTGCAAAGCAAACGTTTGTAATTCAATCAAACAATGACACGCTCATCTTGAAAATAAGGAAATCTGACACTTGCATAAAAATGCTGTGGATGTATGAGTACAAAGTAGGACACGCTGCTTCCAGAAATCAAGGGGTGGAGGGTCCTGTCCAGACCACCTTTTATCCAGGCAGAATAGTAAAATGACAGTCTGTGAACCTGGAGAACCAGCAGAGGCTGGCCCACGGCGGACAGCGTGGGCTCTCTCACCAGATACAGACTAGCACAGTATTTCTGAGGGACACCTCAGCAGCATGTGCTAAAATCTAAAATGTGTGCTCCTTGACCTAACATTTCCATTTGTAGGATTCTATTCTGAAGGACACCTGCACGAGGATGCAGAGACCCGCACAGGAGACCATTTGCTATGGCCTGCAGCACTGTGTGTGTCTGTCACCGTGGAGTTGCTGTGTGCCACCAGCCTCACCATTCATCCGAAAAGAGCAAGTTACAGAATACTGTACTGTGTGACCAAACCTCGGTATTAAAAATACAGTAGTAAGAAGAAGCGCACAGAAAGGTGTCGAGCCATGTATGTAGCACGTGATCAGTGGGCGGTTTGGGCTTGGGGTGGGAGGGTCTCGGGTGCACCCCAGCACTCAGCAGGGACCATAAATAAGGTGTGTTGGAATGTCTGTCATTTGAAAGCTAAGCAAATGACAGGAAGGAGCTCAGGAAGTGGTTGGAAAAGGTAGGAATGAGGTTCCTAGGGCAAAGGGGGAGCCTCTACCCAAGGCAAGAGAAAGGAGGGGCTGCGGGTGTCCCGGGATGGGGGGTTGCTGGTGAGGATTGGGAGGAGTTGGAAGTGGACGCAGTTAAACCACAGCACTGAAGAAGGAGGAAGGGGGAGCTGGGGCTGGGGGGGGAGGGTCAGGCAGTCCAGGAGAAAGCCGACCATCCTACAGGCTCAAAACCCTCTGTAAACATCCAAGCCTGGACCCCTACTTCATCTTTTTATTCTTTTTTTTTTTTTCAGTACTGGGGCTTGAACTCAGGGCCTCCACCTTGAGCCATTCCACCAGCCCTATTTGGGTGTATGTGTGTGTGAAGGGTTTTTCAAGATAGAGTTTCCTGAGCTATTTGCCCAGGCTGGCTTTGAACCACCATCCTCCTGATCTCTGCCTCCTTGGTAGCTAGGATTACAGGTGTGAGCCACCAGAGCCCAGCTCATCTTTTTCATTTGTGGTGTTGTGGTTTGAACTCAGGGCCTTGTGTTTGCTAAGCATGTACTCTACCACTGAGTCACACTTCTAGCCCTTTTTGCTTTAGTTTACTTTTCAGATAGGGGCTCTCAATTTTGCCTGGAGTTGACCTTGGGCTATGATCTTCCTACCTCCACCTCCTGGGTAGCTGGGATTACAGATGTGCATCACCACGTCTGGTCCCCTACTCCATCTTACACACAGAAAAGCAGTGTCTGAGCATCTTAAGTGCACAGGGAGCTGTCCAGGGATGCACACACAAGAGCAGAGGGACCACTGTTTGTCTTTGTCTACCTCAGAACTGTCCTGGCAGTAGTTCACCAATGAAAGCATACAGCTTGTGGATGTCAACCCCTGTCATCACTACCCCCAGCCCCATCTACAACTTCCTCTGTAGCTTCTCTTCGCACAGGGATCCAGAACATTCCCCTTGAGTTACATTTCCAAAGTGACAAACCTAAAGACTTAAAAATGAGAGCCGATCATATTCAGCCAAATGTCCCAATACTTGGTTTTAGAGTTTCACCCACAAATGAATGGTCATTCTGCCAAGATTTTCCTCCCAGTGAAGCAATGAAACCAAAGCATCAAGGCTAAGGAAACCTTTTAAAAGAACCGCGATGACCATGGTGGCTGGGCTGGCTATACCACCCTCCTCTCCCTCTCCAGACCTGCCCTGAGCTCCCCACTCCGTGGTCTTCCCATTCTTTGCCTGGTTACTCATTGCTGGACACAGGCCTGTCTATGTTTACGCTCCACCCTCAGTGCAAGCAAACAGCTTCTGAGCTGCTTGTTTCTCCTAAACCCATACTTAAGGATGGCCACAGCAGAGAGTAACCACTTCCTCCTGTCGTCTAGCGTGGCCTTTCCCTCTCTTGATTGTAGGACATCACAGTGATTTTTTAAAATTGCGTGCAGGTGGATTATAACCAGGAAAAGGTCAGAGGTTAACCACGTCAAGCGCTAGTGACCAAGGTGAGAGTGACCAGGGTGAGACCTGGGCTCCTCTTTGGGATCTCAGTCAGCAGAACAGCTCCTGGGGTGCAATGCCGCCAGTGACCAGCAGGGGTCAGAGCTCTCAGGTGAAGACAGCACTGGGGCAGGCAATGCTGGATCCTGCCAGTGGTGCAGACGCCATAACCACAGGGTTTTAGCCACCTGGCTGGCCACCCTCAGGGCCCTCACTGTCCAGTCCCTGCCTCTATCCTCAGCCACTATCCCCTCTGCCTTTACGGGTTACAGGACCTTGGACAAATGTCCTGGTCTTTCTGAGGCTGAGTCCTTCATGGCAAGTGGGGTAATAATTGCCCTGCTGTGAGGACTGGGCATGGCCATGCGGGAAGGAGCCCAGGCCAGAGCTGGGGCCAGACATGCCATCATCATTACTGACCAGAAGGGCTCGGGCCTCGGCCGCTGGCCTGGATGCGCAGGGCAGTCAGATTGGAGAGCAGCCGCTGGAAGTGGAAGGCAGGCAGCGGGGGGTCTGCATCCTCGGAGGTCTCCTGCAGGCTGGTGGGGACAGGCGGTCAGCATACAAGCCTGACTTGGGGGCAGGTGGTGCCAAGACTCTGGGAATCAGTGGCAGAACCCCAGACTCCAGGGGACTCTTTGGATTTCTGGGTCCTCAGAGGCCACCCTGTCCATCCCCAGCTCTCAGGAGGGAGGTCACTTACAGGAAATGGAGCTGTTTGTGCCTGGACTGCCCAGCGTCCTGGAGGCCAGAAGGTCTGGAGTGCTTCAGAGTGAGGGCCAAGCCCGCCCCCTCCAGCCTCAGCTGTGTGGGGGGCAGGGAGCCTCCAGGGGGTACACGGAAGGTCAGCGTGAGGGGCTGTCCATAGCTGAGCCTCTGGTCTCCCAGGAACTGCTCTGCAGACCAGAGAAGAAGGCTGTAACCATCTTACCCGCTTAGCTTGGTTCTAAACGTTTGTTTTGATGTTATTGGCAAAGATCAAACCAAGGTACACCAGAATCAAGTCAAGAATTTGACCCGTCCTGTGCACTGCAGGCGACCCACGGGTAACTGCGAGGTCCCAGAGGACAGCTTATGTTCTGCTGTCCCTCCCTTGACATTCCTAATAGTTGTGTCTTTGAGCTGGGGTTTTGGAAGTGAAGTCCAGTAGGACAGTGGATGGTAAACATGAGCAGAAGAAATGCATACCAGGCTCTGGGTTCAATGCCCAGCACTGCAAAATAAATAAAAAATAAATAAACAATAAATAAACATGACTTAGAAGGAGAGGGCACAACAGGCTACCCATGGTTCCTGCTGGTCCTTCCTCACTCATGAGTCAGCTGAAGGAAGACGGTGGTGGCAGAACGTGTGCCCGTCAAGAAACGACATAAAAAAATGGCGGGTTCTGGTAAGAGAACAACACATATTTGTGTGTGAACTATGAAAAACAAATTGTGGAATTTCAGGGATGCCACAATGGCCTGATGGCAGAATAATGGTGCTCACCTTAAATCTCTGTCAGCAAGAAGGCCATCACCAGATGCAGCCCCTCAGAACTGTGGACCAAAACAAACCTATTCTCTTTATAACTCACCAAGTCTCTGGTACTGTGTTACTAGCCACAGAAACGGACCTATACCCAGCAGCCATGGGGGAACCTGGGCAGTTGGCCCCTGCTAGGGTGCCAGGTACCTGGTGCTGTGAGCTCTTCCTTGTCTTCCAGGCCCAGAAGGACCCCACTTAGACTCCAACGCGGGAGACGCTCTGGGCCCCTGGTGCCTCTGACCCGCCAGCCCCCGGATCCTAGGTGACAAGCACAGAACAGGCACCCCATCACAGTGAGGTCCTGGGGGTGGCCCCAGGCAATGGGTCCAGCAAGGGCCTGTGGGTGGGATGCAGTCAGGCAGAGGGTGGGAAGTCCAGCACGGGCCCTGATGGGAGCTGGTCACAGCTCAGGGCCTGCCCTGGCCTTCAGAGGGCTTTTGACCAACAGGCGACACAGCCCAGGAGCTCTGACAAAGGGGCTTGGGACTTCAGGCCACCTTGAACACTGGACATGACTGGTCTTCCAGAGAACTTTCTCCCCCAGGGCCTCACAGCCGTGACCTTCCAGGTATGCATGTCATTAGCCCCATGGTATCCAGGAAGGCCACCTGGTTAGGAAGGGGCCAAGCCAGGTTCAGTCACCTCTTCTCTAGTGACATCAGTTAACGCCAACTCAGTCTAGCACAGAGCAAATGACCTACAAGGGGCAACAGGCTGGTGGTTGAACACTAGAGCACCAAGGGGTGGGAGGGAGGGCTGAAGAAGGGGGCAGAGGTCATAAAGCAGAGGCCTGTGGTGCCTTAGTGCTAGACGATACTTTGGGCAGTGGGGAGAAATGAACCAATCCTTGTATGCACATATGAATAATAAAAGAAAAATGAAAGAAAAAAAGAAAAAAGAAAAAAAAAAGAAAAGAACCACTCAATTTTCCTTTATTTTGTTTGTTTGGGGTTTTTTTTTTTTGTTGTTCTTGCTATGTAGCCCAGGCTCCTCCTGCCTCCACCTCCTGAGTGCTGGGATTACAAGCATGAACCACCATACTCAGCCTTCAGTTTTGCTATGTAGCCCAGGCTCCTCCTGCCTCCACCTCCTGAGTGCTGGGATTACAAGCATGAACCACCATGCTCAGCCTTCAGTTTATCTTCCTCATACAGCAAATATCTATGTAAACAACCTGCATGTGTAAAAGCGATTTTGGGTCCTCAATCATTTTCAAGAGCATAAAGGAACCTGGAGACCAGAGGGTTGAAATGCTGCCTGAAGCAGCTGTGAGACAAAACTAGGTGGTCCTACAGAAGTACCAAGCCCAGGGCCAGACTCAAGGTGAGAACAGGTCATGCTGAGGTCTTGGGGTCCAGAAGACGAGCCCTGCCCAGTGGACACCAACACACACTGTCCCCATCTCTCACGCCTCTGTCCTGCTTTCTGCACTGCATCCAGCAGAGGGCGCACTGCCCCCGTGCCTGGGGAGCTTGGTGCACTGGCCTGAGGTTCAGTCCAGGGATGCCCAGCTCCTCTCTGGGGGAGAAGCAAGAGGTGGGGGGCACTTGACGGGGCATTAAATAAGGGCCATGCAGAGCTCAGAACTCAGCCAGTTGCCCGCTCTGAAGATGCAGCTGTGCCACCTGGAGTAGGAGACTCACACAGAAGGCTGCACGCGTGGCATGTAAGCAAAACCCAGGAGCTCCTGAACCAAGAACGGATGGATGTCAGGCAAGTGACCTGCCTTTTCCAGGCCTCATTTGTAAAGTAGGAACAAAAATACCTACTGCCCAGGACTGAGACTCCCTCATGTACAGAGCTCAGCTCAGTCCCTGGCATACAATGGGTGCTCAACACATGCAGGCCAAGAGTACAAGCCCAGATCCCCAGCATTTAGGTACACCAAGGGAAGCTAACCTTCACAGGCCCACAGAGGGCCATGTGCCCAGCAGTGTGAATTGCTGGAAACTGGAAGAAAGGCAAAGGCCAGGAATGGAGCCCAGGGGTCACAGGCAGGTGCTAGGAGCCACCCTATCACACCCCAACCCCACCAGGGCTGTGGGACCCCTCTCTACAGGGGGCATGGTGGAGGGGCCACCCCACCCCAGCTCCCAACCCCCCAGATCGCCAGGTAGGGCTACAAGCAGCCCCCTGGAAGGTGGTTACGGGGCAGGACTTACCCTGGCGGAAGTTGGAAAGGATGTGATGCACCTGGAACCCTGCAGCCGAGGCGCACACCCTGGAGTGGCCATAGCAGAAGCAGCTGCTGCAGCCAGCAGGATTGTGGGGCTGCAGGTTAAAAGTCCCCGGGCGACACCTGTAAGGGAAGCAAGAGATGCCCACAAGGGCCATATGACCTGGCCAGGAAGGGCAGGGCTGGGCTAGACTAATGGAAAAAAAAAAGTTTTTTCAAAAAGTTCCAAAGACAGTACAGACAGTTCCCATGTCTGCTTTCCCTGCCACTGACAGCTGACCTTGAAACTAAGCCAGCAATCTCTCCCCTTCCTCCACTAGCACGTTCCTCTGCTCCAAGATACCATCAGGAACATGGCGCTGCCTTTTGCTGTGTCCTTGGTCTCCTCCAATCTGGAATAGCCTCTTGGTCTTCCTTTTTCTGTTTTTGTCTTTTCGTTTTCTTTTCTTTTTTAAAAATTTTTATTGGTCTTTCATTGTCTCTTGTGGCTTTGGTGCTTTTAAAAAATTTTGGGGTGGTATTGGGATTTGAATTCAGGACTTTGTGCTTGCTAGGCAGATACTCTACTACTTCAGTCACACTCCCAGTCCTTTTTTGTTTTAGTTATTTTTTGGATAGGGCCTCAAGTTTTTGCCACCATACCCGGCTTATTTGTAGAGGTGGTGTCTTACTAGCTTTGCTTATGCTGGCCTCAAACCTCCCAATCTCCACCTCCCAAGTAGCTGAGATTACAAGCATGAGCCACCTAGCCTGGCTACAACCTTGACGCTTTTGAAAAGCACCGCTCGGGTATATTCTAGAATGGCCTTCAATTTGGGTTGTCTGTTTGATGTTTTCTCATGATGAGACCAGAGTTATGGGGTTGGGAAAGTCAAAGTGTCCTCGTCACATCACATGGGGACATGAAACCCAGACATTGGCACCCTCAGTGTCTGGTAAAGAAGGAAGGCTGGATGCTCGGTACACTGCAGTGTTTGGAATAGGGGCACTGGACCCAGCCCACATCAAAAAGAGAGAACTGAGCTCCATGTCCTGCCAGGGGAGCATCAAAGAACTGTGGACAGATGTGAAAATCACCACAGTGGATTATTTGCAGGGAGGGATTTCTGAAGCTATGCAAATATCCTGTTTCTCCTTAAAGAGCTGTCCACAAACGCCACCATGGCGGCTCTTGCCCGCGGCAATTATTACTGTGATCGTCTAACACCGACTTTCCACTTTCCTTCTACACTTATCACTTGGAGTTCTGCAACGGAGATTTGCCCCTGTGCAGCCACCCTCTGCATTTATTTATTCACTCTTCTGTCTACAGCAGCATGGAGCTCTGGGTGTATACTCTACCCTTTGGGTTATAATGCGATCCTATCATTATTTATTTTGTTTCTGAAACTGTTCCAGCTTTGGGAGCTCTTGCAGATTGGCTCCTGAGTCCTTTTCACATGGCCCCATTCTGGTTTGGGTTTTTTGGTTGGTTTTGGGCAGTGCAGAGGCTCAAACCCAGGGCCTCTGGAAGCCTCTGTTACTGAGTCACACCCCAAGCCAGCTTTTGCTTTCAGGTACCCCCTTGCTTTCTAGCACAAAGACACTCTGGGCATATCCTGTTTTCCCTGCTCCAGGTCTAGAAACACTGGAGAAACACTGTTTTACAAACACATCCCTGCTTTGTACTCTGGGTGGGCCAGCAGGTCAGGCCCAGCGGGGAGGGATCTAATTCATAAGAAGCTGTTCATGGCCTGGGTGCCTGGCCAGCTCCAATGGGCACATCTCATCAAGCCCTCACGTCTCACAAGCAGGTAAACTGAGGCTTGGAGAAAAGAAGCTGCTCAGGGTTGTGAGGTGGTTGTGTAGGGCTGAGGGAAAGGCCAGGTCAGGCCTGGCTCCCTGACTCTACTCTGCCTCTCTTGAGGTATCTTAGGCCAGGGGAAGGGGGACCCTGCAGAAAAGAGTCAGAGGGATAGCCTGTGGCTGGTCAAGGTGAGATCAAGACCGGGGGCCAGCCACATGGCTTTGGTGGGGGAAGGGCTTCAGATGTCAACACAAATCCAGGAAGTGTTCCTTTGTATGCTCAAAGAGGCAAATCCATGTTTGTCTGCCAGCCCCAAGGCGGGCACTCGGGCCTCTTGAAAACTGGAAAAAGGACATTTATGGATTGTGTGACCTTGGAAAAGTCCTTCTGTCTTACTGGGCTGCAGAGGCCCCATTTGTACCAGAGGCTTGCAGGAATGCCTCGAATCCCAGGGCAGTTGGGAAGGGCTTCTTAGAACAAACCATAAAGAGGGAAGTGGTGTCTTCGATCACTGACTATGCCAGGACATGAACCAGGAACAACACTCCAGTAGCAATGGCAGCGTGTGATAGCATTTCATTAGCCATGTCTGTCACATACGTGAGCTGGGAGGTGTGACAGCACTCCATTAGTGATGTCTGACATGCCTGCTGCCCAGAGTACACAGCTTTTCCTATTCTTCCTCGCTTCTTCTTTTCAGGATGCACGTGTATTTTGTCTCGGCTCATGACCGTCAGTGTATTGGGTCGGAGTCTAAACGGTGCCGAAAGCCTCTGGGTGACTTCCTGGGTCCAGCCCCATGCAGACCGAGGGCATGGGTGACTGAGGACTCTGCCTCACCAGCAACCCCTACCGTGAGCTCAGCAATGGCTCACTCACCTGTCACACAGGTTGCCTTCCACATTCTCTTTGCAGGGACAGCATCCACTGCGGGGGTCACAGGTGCCCAGACTGCCAGCAGCATCACAGGTGCAGGGCCTGCCAAAGAGAAGCAAGGTGACATGTGTCCAATGAGCTACTCCAGAGTGGGGACCAGCTCATCCTCGGAAGAAACCTCCCTGCCCTTCCCTGTTCCTGGGAAGACTGGGGCAGGATGGCCAAGAGCCTGTCCCCACTTACACTCCTACCTCACCAGGAGGTGAGCCACCCCTCCTTTCCTTCCATCATCCATCTTTCCTTCCATCCATCCTTCCTTCCACACCCATCCGATAAGTCCTGCCCTCGTGTTTCCCACTGTCCAGTGAGGACAGACAGATAAACAGGCAGACACTGCTCTGCAATTTGTGCAGATGGCCAGAGGTATAGCAGCACCAGAGGGGCATCTGGCCCAGCCTGGAGGTGGTGACAGGGGCAGGGACCTCCCCTGAGGGAGAGGTTCCTCAGTTGAAAACCAAAGAATGAGTAGGAGCTTGCTAGACACAGGCTGGGAGAAGAATGCTCTGAGGAGAGCCCTGGGGATGGATGGTGGGAGGAACGACATGTGCAAAGGTCCAGAGGCCAGGACCTGGAGAAGTAGCCAGGCTCCTGTGTAATGTTTTCACTTGTTTGCATGTGGGTGTGGGCAGGTGTTAGGGACAGCACCAGGGCTCGCAGATGCTAGACAAGTGCTCTACACTGAGCCACACCTCTATCCTAGCAGCCATTTCTGTACCCAGAACTCCCAAGTGCTTCACCAGAGATCTGAGACCCCAGGCCTGCCCAACTAGCTTTCACTGTCTTTCAAATACACAAGGACACTTGTTATTAACCAAAGCCAAGTTCACTTAAAAGTGCTTGTGAATTGACAGTAGCTTTATTTACTTTTGTGGTCATTGCTATCCTCTCAACAAACACATGGTAAGGATGACTGGCCCCTCTTCTGAGGTCCGGCTCCCTGATCGCTCTTCCTTCTGCTGGCTCTCTAGGTACCACACGCTCAGCACACGGACACAAGGCTCTGTCTCTCCCTTCCCAGCAACCCCACTGCCCCTCTGCCCTGATGCCCGAGCAGAACCCTGGGGACCAGACTCTGTCCCTTTTTCCTCTTCTGTCTCCTGCCACCTCCTCCCACCATCTCTGCCTTACCAGGGCTCTGGAATCCCTCCAAGTGGCCAGACCACATGCCTGAGCTCTTGCAGCCTGCAGGGGGCCTGACCTTGGCCCCTCCCAAGGTCATCTTGATTCTCAGCTCCTCCTAGGCACCAGCCGCTTTCTCTGCACACCTCCCACCCTGTTCACTTGCTCACCACGCTGAGTCTTACGTGGTGCTTGCCACGGGGCCCTGCCTGTGCTTTGCCCCACCGAGAACACCTGTCCTTCCTCTCTCTCCTTGGCTCTCACAGATTAGGCCTCGGACTAGGACAGAGGACCACACCAAGCCAGCTGGGCTTCTCAGTAGCATTCTGTTTATGTCTCTCTGTGGCCTCAGCGACTGGGCAGCTCTGGTCCTCATATGACTGGGGCATGGTGGCCGCAGAATAAGACAATGCTTAGGAGCAGAAGTGGAGGTGGGGACAGCTCATATTCTGTTCCTGTTGCATTCAGTCCAGTTGCAGGGTCAGTGGCCACACTGGGCCACCCACCCCGCCCCCTCCCTCGCCCTTACCTGCAGCCACCCTCGCTGAGTGAGTGGAATCCCGGCCTGCAGTGGTCACACTTCCAGCCTGTCACCGTGGGCTTGCAGGTACAGGTGCCCGAGTCGTCACACTGGAGGCTCAGGGAGCCTGGGGGAGGAGGAACACAGGGCAGTGGAGGTGGGCCAGGCTGAGGTGGGAGGCTGGGGGAGGATGAGAACCGGGGCTACTCACCTGCTGGGTGGCAGTCACAGGGCTGGCACGGCATCCGCTGGTCCCAGCGATAAAAGTTGTCTTCACAGTGCTCACAGTGCGGCCCTGCTGTATGGTCACGGCAGTGGTGACAGCGCCCACTGTGGCCTGTGCTTCGGAAGAGCTCTCGGTCAAAGGTGCACTCCTCAGAGCGGCCGCTGCAGTTGCAGGCTGTGGACAGCAGGTGGGAGAGGGAGAGTGAGAGCAACCTGGGTCTCGTCTGAGGGACTCTGCCAGTCAGTCTCTCTGCGCTGAACAAGCAGGCAGGTCAAAGAGGGCAAGAGGCTAGCATGGAGTTCAGGCCCAGCTTGATCCAGGATATGGAGACCAGCCAATGCATCTTCCAAAACAGGACACTCTTAAATGCAAGGTGGGCACTGTTAATAAACACACCAAAAAGCAACACCTTCCTGGAGGAAGTCACAACTAAGCCGAGTCTGAAGGCTGAGCAGGAAGGAGTTGGCCTGGAGAAGGAAGATGGAGCAGAGAAGCAAGACTGGCTTGGTATGGGTGTGGCACGAGGCTGGCTGCAGGTGGCACGTTGTGTGCTAGGTAGGGAAGGGGGAGGCAACAGGAGATGAGCAGCATGCAATGTTCCAGGGAGGCCAGGCTGCAGTGGTCAGTGGCTTTGGCTTGCAGCAAGGAGGAGCCCTGGAAGGCTAAGCAGGGAGAGAGGTAGTGGAATTTGCAGGTAAGGAAAGCCTGGGCTGCAGGTAGAGGAGGCTGAGGCAGGAGGCAGGAGGCAGGAGGCAGGGAAGAGAGAGCTGTAGGCGCCCAGAGGAGAGGGGACAGGGCTGGGGCCCAGGCCCAGAACATAGACTGGTTGAACAGATGTCCACAAGGCAGACAGGAGCTCAGGGCTGCCTGGGCAGGGGGTAGGGGCAGTAGTGAGGAGTCAGGCATGAAACCCCAGTTTCCAGGCTGGTGACTGAGGACAGAGATGTGACCACAGAGGTAAGATGAGGCAGGAAAAGCAGTCAGGCCTTTGGTGTCCCCACCATGGAGACAGGCTTGGAGCCTGCCAACCACCAGCATAGCTTCCATAGCCTGGGAGGACTCTAGGTGGTGCAGCAGGGGAAGCAAGCAAGCCAGAAGGAAGCCATCAGGACCCTGCAGTCTCAGGGCAGCCCCTGTCCACAGTGTCCTATCCCATGGAACAAGCTGTCTCCTCCCTGCCCCAGTCCTGGCAGCCAGTGGCCCAGGCCCAAGAAGACGGCAGGGCCCAGAGGCCAAGCCATCAGGCAAGCTTGCACGAAGATGCTGTTCCTGTCGCCAGTATCCGGTGCCTGGTGACAGGCAGCTACACACTGGAAGCCTAAAGCAAAGCAGATGATTGCGTGGGGAGATGGGGCTGGGCTTGGGGACAGGACTCTGGGGCAGCTGAGGCAGCTGGCACTCACGTCCCTGCAGAAGGTCTGGGCCCATCCTCCCTCATTGTCTCTCTGAGGGCTAGAGCCACATCAAAGCGCTGTGGGGGGAGGGAGGACAGGGTAGAACCCTGGGTGGTCAGGTTAGCACCTCCTAGATGTGGGGGCCCTGGCTTTTTTTTAGCAGCCTGGGTTGGAGCAGTTAAAACAAAGGGGCAAGTTAGGGACTCAGTATATAGGAGCCATCTGCGAGGAAGAACTGAGGCTCAAACCCCCCAGCCCCGCTTTCTTTTAGCTCCCCCTGGTCTGTCTTGGGGACCCCATGCTGTCAGTCCCATCAAGGAGCAGCCCCCACTGTGAAGCTTTAGGGGGTGGGCCTGAGTCCCCAGTGCCCTGGTACACTCACGCAGACACTCATTGGCCGCCTCAGCGGTGCCCCGGGCCCATGGGCGGTCCTGGAAGAAGGGCAGGCAGCGCTCGCAGTCCACACCTGTGGTGTTGTGCTGGCACTGGCAGACGAGCCGGCCCGCCCCATTGGGGCCACACGCACTAGCATGTCCACTGCACTTGCACCTGGGAAAAGAACCCAGAGGAGGAGGTCCAGAGACCTCAGGGTAGGGACAGGTGAAGGCAGACACGGTTTAGGTTTCATCGCCAGGCAGCCTTTGAGTCTACGGCCCCTCCACTGAGTACCTGCTGTGTGCCCTGGGGCCCAGGAAGGAGAGCAAGTTCTTAGGAACACACTCCCTATCCTCACCAGTCCATTACTGCCCTATCACAGACAGGAGCTGCCCACACAGCAAGCTGGTAAGTGGCTGCTATAGGTTTCTGCCTGGCAGAGTCCACCCAGAGGCCACAAGAAACCCAGGAGGAAGTCACTCAGCTACCCAGTAGGGGGTGGGCAGGTGGTCACAGGGACAGTAGTGTGATGGTGGGGGTGGCAGGGAGGTCACCTCAGACAGTTCTCCTCAATTAGTGGCCTGTATAGGGACAGCTCCCAATCTGTGCCAAATCCCCAGAGTCTGTGCCTTTCAGGGCAGCCCTGGACCTGTGTCCCCATAACACCCACAAGGTCAGGGAACAGATAGAGTTGGGAAGGAAAAGAGGTGCTCTGGGGACAACACAGCATGCACAGCAGAGCCTGGCCCTGTGTGGCTACTGTCCCTTCCAAAGCAGCCAGACTGAGTGGCTTAGAGGCCATTGCAGCCTCCAGCTCCAGCCCTGCTCTGGGCAGGCCCCAGATTAAGCAAGGAGCTCGTGTCCTAGCTAGAGGCTTACCCTGGAGGTGAGGGGACCTTTTATCCCCGTGTCACAGGTGAGGAGATAGGCACAGGCCTTGGAACTGACAGTCACTAAAGTGGCAGAGCTCCAAACCAGATCCTGTCCTGACTGCACAGACCCTGAACTCCTGGACACTCCTGCAGAGTCATCTGATGGCTTGTCAAAGCCACATCACATACTCTGCCCTCACCAGGCACGGGGTAGCTGACCACTGCCAGGGCCCCTGGTTCTATCTCTAATTTGGAGACAAAGGGCGTGGGAAAGGCACACAGCACTGCTTACCCATGGGGGCCCAGCAGGGGCAGCACCCCAGCATTTCCGGCAGTCTTGGGAGACACTGGTCATCAGGGAAGTAACAAGAGACTGGCCCCTAAAGGGTGCTGCCAACCCCTCCCTCCCCCATGAAGCCCTCTGGCTCAGGGAAGGAGAGACCCTGCAGGCCATGAAACACAGACTGCTGGGGCCACCTGTCCCTGCCTGACAGCAGCCTTCCCAGCCAGCTGCGGGTCTGAGGGTGGTCTGATCCCAGCAGCTGGGGTCCAGATGTTCTCTGGCCTGCGACGCCTGACAGCAGGCGATAGAGATCAAGGCCATTGCTGTTCCTGGAGAAACCCCAGAAAGGTTTCTCCAGGAGAAAACAGGTTTCCTGGAGAAACCAGAAAGGTTTGACTGGACACAAATGGGCTGGGGGAGGAGCAAGGGCTCCCCTCACAGACACCCTTGGGTGTCCCTTGGCTCCAAGCACCAGCCTCCCCTGGAGTAAAGATACCCTGAGTTGAGGTGATGGGTCAGGGGCGCCTTCCACGTTCTCCATGTCAAATGCCTCCTGAGCATCCCTGAATCATGAAGCCCAGTGTCTGGACGCCATCCTCACTGACCACTCCCACAGCCCACCACTTACACATGGAGCGGCTTTTCCATCCTAAATAGCTTTTGGACCCCACTCCCCATCCTACCACTGCCTGCCTGGTCCAAGCCGCCTTGTCTTCCATCCTGTTCCTAAGGTTCGTTTCTTCTCTTTTCTTTCCTCAAGCAGCTGTCTGGGGCTGGGGTGTTTTAACAATCTGACACTGTTACCTCCCTGGCCAAGTCCCACTGACCATGGGATGAGAATAAACTCGCCCATGGCCCTGACCCTCTCCCAGCTGTCTCCGCCCCCATTCCAGCCACAGCTTTCCCACTTCATGGGGCTTTGCCTAGATAGCTTGCTATGCCTCCATCCCTTCTGCAGAGCCACTCCCGGGCCTTGTCACCCTGACCTTTGCCTCCCTGTCCTTTTATTCTGGGTGTGCTGACATGTTTATTAGGAGTGTTTGGATCCATATCTGCTGCACCATGGAACTGAGGTGGGAACACAGTCTCCTCTCCCTTCAAAGGAAGGGCTTGTTCGTGTTGAAGACCTCATTCCTGCCTCCCTCCATGCGCGGGGGCTGCTCCAGCCAACTCTGGGAGCACAGAGATACAGAAGAGCAGCCTCGGTGGCCCTGCTTGTTGAGCAGGGCAGGTGTTAGAGAGACGGAACCCCTGGGTGCTCTGACTGGATGCTAAGTGGATGTGGGGATGGGGTGGGAGACTGGGTATAAAAGCATCTCTCTCTGGGGCCCGCAGGTGACATTTGCCACATGAGTAAGGGGGAAACAGACCCTCCCCACCCCAGGCTGAGGAAACCGGATGTAGAAAAACCCAGTGTGTCTGGCATGGGACCCATGCCATGGTGCGGGCTTAGTTTGGAGGAAGGGCTGAAGTGGAGACAGTGGAGATGGTGGCCGGGGGAGGGAGGGCGAATGCGGACAAGAAGCCAGGGTCCTGCTCCTTCTCTTTCTCCTGGGGCACCCCAGAGGCTTTTGCCTCCACAACAGCCACCAGCTACTCTTACATGTGATTTTCCTCCTGCTCCGGGACTTGGGTCCCGGGCCCTGCTCTCCTGCTCTTCTCCCGCCTCCCCGCTGGCCCCTCACCCTGCCTCCCACCTACCTGCCGCCTACAGAGAAATCGGACACCGCATAGTAGTAGGACTGGAGCACTTTGGGGTCCTTGAAGATGTCGTCCCCAAATGTGTTGAGCCGGTCTAGAGAGATGAGGAGCTCAGTGCTGGTGACCCACTCCTGGGGGGAGGGGACAAGGACACCATCAGCAGGTTCCCCAGTATTTGTTCCCATCTGGCTGCCCTGGGTGGGCTCCCCGGATTCAGAGACAAGCCAAGCTCAGACAAATCCTGCAGACAGTGTAAGAACTAGGAGCCTGGGGTCACGCCAATCCAGGTGCCAGGCCACCTTCTGGCTCCGCAGCTTTGGGGATGTGGCTCAATGTCTTGGTGCCTCCATTTCCCCATCTGTGAAATGGGACAAGGACAGTGCATTCCCAAGGGTATGTGGAGGACGCCAACACCAACAGCTGGGTGTGGGGCCGGCACCTGCTCAGGAAGCAGCAGAGGTGCTATGGGGTAGGTAGGGGCCAAGGCTGCCCATCTAAGAGCCTCCTGTGCAGGCCACCTGCCTTCTCTAAGGCCAGAAATCTTCTCCCCTGCTCTGCTGGGCCTGGTGGGGGCAGGTTCTAGGTTTTTTCAGCTTCTCACATTTGGAAGAATAACACCTGCAGCAGGTGACGCTTCTCCCACCAGAACACAAGCCCCACGTGAGAGCTTCTCGAGGATTCTCAGGGCCCCTTGTTTTTGCTGCATCCCACCCCCTCAGCTCTGCCTGGCACATAGCAGGCACTCGATAAGTACTTGCTGATCGCTGAGTGAGTAGCTTCCCCATGGAAGAGCCTGGTGAGGAAGTGGGGGACCCACGTGAAGTCTGACATTTTCATCCGCCTGCTGTTATAATCAGAGGCAGCTCCGGCTGAATATTAATCAGCATTTAATTCAGCCCAGGAGCCCCTGGCTTAGCAATCAGGCCATCAGGACAGAAAATGAGCTCCTGGCAAAGTCTGTCCCCTTGTCCCAGCATGACTCAGGCCCAGCGAACCTCTGCACGAAACTGTTTGCGGGTCCCTGTCACTCCGAGTCACCACTGCACATTCAAGGATCTATGAAAGTTCAGGTTTTGATGGAGAGGCTGGGGTGGGATTGAGAGCTGCATTTTGTTCATTTGTAGTGCTGAGGGTTCGAACCCAGGGCCCCCTTCATACTGGGCAAGTGCTACACCACTAAGCTGCAAACCCAGCCCAGAAGTCTTCATTCCCACGAGGGTCCTCCCAGGCAATGCTGAGGCCACTGGTCCCTGGAACAGCCAAGGAGCAAGGAGCTAAGGCCAGGGTAGGGGCACTCAGCAGTCCCCAGCTGAAAGCACTGTCCCTAGAAGCATCACCTGGAGCACACCGACCACCTGGTCGTCCCAGTTAGCAGTGCAGCAGCAGCAGCTCTGGTGGTGTGATTAAAGTTCTGATTCTCACCACAATGCCACAAGCAGGTGTCTATTGTTCTGGTGACAGAGGAGGACACTGAGGCTCAGCCAAGTCATGATGCTGGCACATGACAGAGCCAGATTTGGGTCTAACAGATCCAACTTTTACTCATGAGGCAGGCTAGTCCGCCTTCCTGTGTCTATCCCCTGCCCAGCGAATACCAGAGGACCCAGAGGGCAACAACCTGCCTGAGGTCTCCAGCCTGTAGTGAACTGCCTGCTCCATTGTCTGTGAGGACAATGGCAGTAAAGAAACAGGAGTAAGATCTGAGGCCCAGGATGGGAGCTGGGAGAGAGGGGTCATTGGTTCCTTTAGCCACGCTCCCAGGTGCTACTTGATGCCTGGTCTTTCCAGGGCAAACCAAGGCCCCTGTGTCCAGGAAATAGGCTTTTTTTGGTACTGGGGTTTGAACTTAGGGTCTTATGCTTGCTAGGCAGGCACTGTAGCACGTGAGCCACACCCCCAACTTTTTTGGCTTTGGCTGTTTTGATGCACAGACTGGGCCTGGAACTCGATCCTCCTATTTATATTTCTTGTGTACCTGGGATGACATGGGTGCTCCACCGCTCCCAGCTTTTTACAAGTTGAGATGGGATCTAGAGAACTTTTTACTAAGGCTGGCCTTGAACCTGCTGATCTCAGCTTCTGGAGTAGCTGGGATTACAGCTGTGAGCCACAGCACCCTGCTCTAGGCAATGCGCTTTTGCAACTCATAACAGCTCTAGCACTGTGGCGTTAAGAAGTAGGAAGCAAAAAGAACAGTAAAGTACACGCCTGTGGTCCCAGCACACAGGAGGCTGAGGCAGGAGAATCACAAGTTCCAGGTCAGCCTGGGCTACATAGTGAGACCCTGTCTCAAAAAACAAACAAGTAGGAAGCAGACAACTTTGGGTCCGTGGTCCAGTGGTGCTCAGGCAGTTGCTTAACTCTGGTGAGCTGCTCCTCAAGGTCCTTTGCCACTCTGTGGGGAACAGAGCCCGGTAGACTCACGGATCAATACTTCATTACCTCTACCTGAAGGCTCTCTGCCCTCTGCGAAAGGAACGTGCATGAGTCCAGAGGGTGGAACAGGGAGGCAAGGCGAGGAGGCCTGCCTTTCTTTGTCCTTCTCTGACTTTGCCTACAGCTCACAAGCAGTAGGGGGGGACATTTCTGAAATGGTCATTTCTCCTGCATCAGGGACAATGCCCAGGACACACAGAACCAATGAGTCAGAAAGTCTCAACTGAAACTCATCCCAGGGTAAACAGCAGGACGCAGGTTGGAGTAGGGCCTGGGCCTTTCTGTGGGGCCCATCTGACCTCAGCTGCTGTCTTCTGACCTATAGGGCTTGGAGTCCTATGGAGAAGAAACTGGTTTTACACAAAGTCATGCTGATGACACGGGGACATTTTGAATGGGTCAAGAGGTGTCTGGAGAGATGGTTCTCAGTGCAGAGGATTCATCTCACCCAAAGGGAGTTCCAGCCTGCCGTGGCTCAAGTGACCTCAAAGGCCTTGGGATGTCCCTTGCAGCAGGAACACTCCCTGAAGGCCACATTGGACAGTCTACGCTGGTGATGTGGCTTATTGTGGGCCTTGGGCCACACAGCATCAGCTTGACATCAGAGAGGCTGGAGACTAAGGTCAGCCATGCAGGTGCTCAGCCATGTCTATGTGGCCCCTCCAAGAAAAAACCTGAGCTCAGAGCACAGCTGGCTTCCTTGTTGGCAATACTCTGTATGTATTGTCACACGTCAGTGCCAGGGGAAATAAGCACTTTCCTCAGGAGCCCACTGGGAAAGGACATCTGGAAGTCCTGAGCCCAGTCCCTGGGCCTGCCCAGGTGCCTCTGCCCTTTGCTGATCTTGGTCTGGATTCTCCATCACAATGCATTGTCACTGTTTGAATAACAAACTTCCTGGGCTCTGTGAGTCCCTGCAGTGAGTCACTGACCCTCAGGGTGGACATGATCACCCCCAAGCCAGCACTCTGTAGGCCTTATACCGAGCATTCCAGGCAAGATTAACTTCTCCGGGCCTCAGTGTCCCTTCAGAAACAAACTAGACACTAAGTCCAGCCCCTTGTTATGTCAGACGGGCCAGGGGGCCTGGGGACGTCCCAGTGAGAAGAAATGGCGGGTTTCCTTGCCTGAGGCCTGTCTGAACCTAGGACCACAAACCCAGGCCATGTTTGTGACCCACATGGCTGCACTGGGGACCCCTATGATGAGACACAGCCACACGCCTGCTGGTCTCCTTGACGTGAGGACAAGACCAGTGAGTTCAGTGAACGCTATCTTCAAAGCAGAAATGCACACCTCCTACCTGCCACTCTGTCCTGAGTGGCTGCGTGGCCCAATGGGGCCACTGCTGGCCACGTGTGGCTACTGACAAGGAAGTTCGTGAAAAAATAATTAGTGTAAAAATACACTTTGCCTCACTTGGGCCTCACACCCAAGTGCTTTACAGCCACTGATGAGGCCAGTGGCCACTGTCCTCCACCAGACAACCATTTCCTTTGTCAGGACATTCTGTTGACCTTGCTGCCCTGCAGGATCGAACCCAGTACTCAGGGCTCCACAGCTCATGTTCTTGCTGCATTTTACCATCCGGGGGACACTGAGGCAAGCCCTGCTCTCAGTTCACAGAGGGGAAAAGCCCCTCGGAAAGCCCAGAAACAGAGGTAGCTCATGTAATTCCAGCCACTCAGGCTGTAATTCCAGCCACTCAGGCGCGGAGAACCTGGAGAGATCACAATTCCGGGCCAGCCAGGCAAAAAGTCAGCAAGACCCCACCTCAACCAACAAGCTGGCTTGATGATGTGTATCTGTTGACCCCAGCTACACGGGAGGTGTTATGTAGGCTTGCCTTGCATAACGCAAGATCCTAGCTGAAGATGAAAGTGAAATAAAGTGTAAAATACACTTCCTCACTTGGGCCAGTCACACCCCAAGTGCTTTACAGCCACTGATGAGGCCAGTGGCCACTGTCCTCCACCAGACAACCATTTCCTTTGTCAGGACATTCTGTTGACCTTGCTGCCCTGCAGGATCGAACCCAGTACTCAGGGCTCCACAGCTCATGTTCTTGCTGCATTTTACCATCCGGGGGACACTGAGGCAAGCCCTGCTCTCAGTTCACAGAGGGGGAAAGTCCCCCTCGGAAAGTCCCAGAAATAGGTAGCTCATGTAATTCCAGCCACTCAGGCTGTAATTCCAGCCACTCAGGAGGCGGAGACCTGGAGAGATCACAATTCCGGGCCAGCCAGGGCAAAAAGTCAGCAAGACCCCACCTCAACCAACAAGCTGGGCTTGATGATGTGTATCTGTGACCCCAGCTACACGGGAGGTGTATGTAGGCTTGCCTTGCAAAAACGCAAGATCCTAGCTGAAGAATAACTAAAGAAAGCAAAAAAGGGCTGGTGGAGTGGCTCAAGTGGTAGAGAACCTGCCTAGCAAGCATGAGACTCCGAGTTCAAATCCCAGTACCGCCAAAAACCAAAAATAAAAGTTCTAGGAACTGTATGAGCTAGAGGTCTGGATACTCATCCTGGCCTGAGGCCTTTCATCAACCCATGTGACCCCCTGCAAAACTCCTTTGCCTCAGCTTCCCCACCTGCACGAGGAGGGGGCAAGGTGAATTGGGGGTTGTCACAGGGCTCAGCTCTGCCATAACAGGTGAGAGAGGGGACACCTCTCTTGTCTGAGCAGCCCCTCTTCCATCTGCTTCTTTGTTTCAGATGGGGTCTTTCTATACAGCCTGGGATGGCCCCGAACCCTCAATCTCCCTGCTCAGCCTCCTGAGTGCTGGGATCACAGCTGTGCACAGCACACATGGCTTCTTGCGAAACCTATGTCTTCACCAGCCATTCACAAAAGATTTCAGGCTTGCAGGGCCTGAGGTGTGAAACCATGAGGTCGCGTGGGGCTCCGGAGGCTGCCATAGCAGACTGTCCCGCCCAGCAGCCCACCTGCAGCCCAGGCCTGACCCCCCAACCTCTCTGACCTGCAGCCCAGGGCTCTCCTCGAAGTTGTAGGCGCTGGGCCGGCCCTCCAGGGTGGAGAAGGCCACATTGCCCCCGCTCAGTGGGGAGATGTCGCTGAACTCGGATGTGCAGAAGGCCACACGCTCGTCCTCGCCGGGCTGCAGGTAGTGGCCCTCAGGCCGGCCGTAGGTCTTCTGGCAAGAGGCGCTGTAATACTGGTAAGGCTCCCAGGGGCCCCTGGCACGGCTGCGCTTGTAGATGGCGAAGCTCTCAGGGCGGCTCGTGTGGAACTTGAGCCTCACGTAGGTGATCTCATACGCCTTTCCTGCAGCCAGGGACATGTGGGCCCATTTTACAGAAGGGAATAGCCGCCCTTGCACAAGCTCTCAGGGAGGCATTGTTAGGGGCTGTCTGGAGCTCTGGGCAGGGAGTGCCCAGACAACTGGTGATGTCTGCTGGGGACACAGGAGAGGGCAACTTGGGCACAATTTCTCCATGGAGCTCAGCTTGTCTCCTGGTACCGGGGTTCCCACAAGCAGCCATCTCTCTGCTCAGATATCCCCAGCAATGAGATGTTACATCCTCCAAAGGCTGTTCCACCACCAGATAGGTGCTTCTTTTACTATACCCCAACCTAGCCGGCCCCTCCACCTGTGCCATTAGCCACACTCCCTTGCACTAACAACAGACCCTCCATTCCAAGCCCTCCAGATCCTAACACAATCCTCCCCAGGTCCCACCCTTCTTCCAGTTTCTATCACCTTCTCTCTGACCCAAATTTCCCAGCGATGGTCTGTATCTGGCAACCTTCCACCTGTTAAATTCTGCTCCTCCAGCTGCATGGGACTTGCAATTACAAAGCCACTTTACCCACAGTCCTTTGTGGCCACAGCCAGGGGGCCTTGCTTAGTTCCTGGGCCTCCAAGGCAAAGAAACCAATCACAGAAGCCCACGTGAGAGGACTCCGTTCACGCTCAATGCCCAGAATAGGCAAATCCACAAAGACAGAAATCACAGTAGTGGCTGTCAAGGGCTGGGGATCAGGATGGGGGGGTGGGGAAATGGGGAGTGACTGCTAATGGGTACAAGTGACGAAAATGTCCTAAAACAAATTACAGTGATGAGCACAGAAGCCTATGAATATCCTAAAAACCAATGGGTCAGATGTGTGTTATTTATGTGACTTATATCTCCATAGGCTATTGACACACACACACATACACACACACATTTACATATGCAAATACACACATTTACATATACACATATCTATGCAAACCTCACATCCAGGAGCATGGGAACTATCAAAAACCCACACAATAACAAATCTCGAAGACGTGGAGAACGCCTTGTGTGCTGTGGATGTGGGTGCCAGCTGTAGTGCTGCCACTGTGGGGGATAGTCCAGCGCCCTCAGGAAAGTAAAAGCAGAAAGACCACATGACCGCACACTCCTCCTCAGGCTCGAACCCCAGCAAATGGCAGGCAGGGTCCCCTACACACACGCCTGCAGTCATGTCCATCTCTGTTACTCATTACAGCCCCAAAAAGCAAATAACCCAAGAAGCCATCCGTGGAGGAACGGACCAGCAATGTGTGGTCTAGCCATACAATAGAATATTGCTCAGCCTTTAAAAAGGATTGGCACACAATCCTAAAATATAGATGAACCCTGAGGACATTCTGCTGAATGGAAGAAGCCTGTCACAAAAAGACAAAGACTGGAGGACTCGACTTACATGACACACCCAGGGTGGTCACAGTCACAGAGACAGAGGGGCCGGGGCAGGGGAGGGGAGTCAGTGTTTAATGGAGACAGAGTTTCTGCTTCCCTAGATGAAAGGGTTCTGGAGAGGGCTGGCGTGAAGGCTGCACCACAGCCCGGCTCTGCTTAATACCGGCGCACTGCGCGCTGAAAAGTCGTTAAGATGGTTAGTGTTATGCGCGCTTCACCACAATAAAAGAAAAATGTCAGAAAGTAAATACACTGGGGCTTTGGGAAGGCAGCTTGGCGACATGGAGGAAGAGTCACACGGACTCCTTCTTTGGGGAATTCACTTGAGAAAAGAAGCCTGAATACAGCAAAACGATCAGCAAGGCATTTTATACCAGAGGGAAAAACTGGGACCACATGGAAACAGTCAAGGAATTACGGGACAAAAATTCCCATGGTGACTGAAGCCACCAAGACAGTTGACAGAGTTCACAGTACACAGGACAGCAGATGTCAAAATGATGAAGGACGAGGTGTAATGGCTCACGCCTGTAATCCCAGCTACATGGGAGATGGAGATCAGGAGGATCTCAGTTCAAGACCAGCCAGGGCAGTAAAGCTCATGAGACCCCATCTAGCCAATAAAACTGGATGTGATGGTGTGTGCCTGCCATCCCAGCTACATGGGTCACAGGATCCAGGCCAGCCTCAGCATAAAATTAACTAAAGCTAGGGGAATGGCTCAAGTGGTAGAACACCTGCCTCATAAGCCAAAAGGCCCCAAGTTCAAGCCCCAGTACTGCCAAAAAAAAAAAAAAAAAAAAAAAGTTGGGGGAGAGGGGAAGGCCCAAGATGATAGGTGATGCATCCTGCTAATTAAGCAGCATTTTATTTTTGACATGTAAAAGTCACAATTCTATGTCACCAGTCATTGAGCCTGCTCAGCCTTTTGATGAGAGAAACAAAGTCTGTAGAGATTTTGAGAAATAAAATTATTATGTAGTTAAAAAAGTTAAAGAATACTCCCAGAGAAAGGCACCCAACTGCTCAGGTTCTTCATCCTCAGGGCTCGGAGTGACTCCCCTTTCAGTCCTGTTTTCTATATTTCCCCCAGAAAGCTTGCTCTAATTTAAAACAGGAGAAAACACATTTTGACAAAAAAAAAATATTTTTAAGCAACCGCCTTGCCATGTTCCGTTTTTAAGATGTTTTTCGAAGTTTCCTCGCAGCTCAGCTTGGCACTGTGACTCCAAGTCCCTTAAATGGAAGGCTTGTGTGGCCAACAGCGGGGGATCAGGGCGCCCTTATGGGATCCCCTGCTTGGGCCCAGATGTGCAGCACGAGGTGTGCCAGGCACAGGCTGTGCCGGTCACACTGTGGTACCAGACACCTCTCGAAAGGAGGGATGGAGTCACTTAAAAGGTAGCCAGCAGCGAGACCGCACGATCGGAAAAAGGCCATCACTGGGATCTCACGCAAGCGAAGAGCATCACGGCCAGAGACACGGCTTCTCTTTCTGGGCCAAGCCGGAGGTGAGACAGCCATGGCAACATCAGAGCCTCGGCGGGAACTGTTTGTTAGCAGAGTTAATTAGAAGAGCCAAGAAAGCAACTTAATCCCTGCTCTGAGATAAAAACTTCCTGCCAAAGGCAACCAAAAGGCTGGGAAAGGAAACAGCCCCAAGACCTTCTAAGCATGACAAGGATTAAATCCACAGCCACAGCCCACATGCCTACAAGGTCCAGGGTCCAGTGAGTCTTCAGCATGATAGAGGCAGGTGTGTTGCCACCAGGAAATCTGGACCAAAGCTTCATCCCTGACTGTTATCTGGGAGTGATGCGGCTTGGTCATTTGCTCTCCACCTCCCAGCCAGCCGATACGCTGTTCCCTTTGCCTGGAACACTGTTCCCTGGCTTCCATGTGTCCTGGCTCATCCCACTGGGCTGAGCATCTACTATGTGCCAGACAGAGGTGGCCAGTTGTGGTGTCCACACCTGTGATCTCAGCTACTCAGGAGCAAAGGAAGAAGGATTCAGAGTTTGAGCCAGCTAGGCAAAGTTAGCCAAGACCTCATTTCAAAAGCAAAAGTGCTGGGGGCATGGCCTGAGCATAGCGCTGGCCTCTCGTGCATTTGGAGGCCCTGGGTTCCATTCCCAATGCAAAGGAAGAAAGAGAAAGAAAAAAAGAGCTGAGTCTCTACCTGTCCACAGCACCCCCTAGTTGCTGCGTGGAGCCAGCACCCCTCCCACGGGGCTCTGGGGGGTCCTTGGGAAGGGGGTGCTGCCCTCAGAGACACAGAGGCCCCACCTGACTGCCCTCCCCTCAGTGTTCACCTGCCGGCTGGGCCAGCAGCCAGTGCAGCAGTCACCCACCCAAGCCAAGCACCAGGGGTGCCAAGCTCTCCACCAGCTGGGACTTAAAACCCATCAAGAAGGACACAGGGACACTCATAAACCAAGCCTGCCCACATCCGGTACTGACCAAGCACAGGGAGCTCCAAACAGCAAGGCTTATTTTTGGGAAAATGGAAACAAAACAAAGCCCTTTAATTGGAGCCATCTGGGAAACAGAGCTGGGGTGGGGTGGGAAGGGGCAGCAGGAGTGGAGCTGGGAAGGCGTGGGCGATCCTGCTGCCCCCACCTCGGGATCAGACCCAGGCTGGAGAGCTGCTCCCAGGCAGTGGTAGATCATGACGTCCCTGAGCCCGCGGTCCTGGGCACGGTGAGGAGCCGGGGACTGCTTGTGACCATAATACAATGACAGAGGCCACAAGGGTCTGGCTAAACCAGGCCTGGGCCCAGCACGGCTCCTTCATTTCTGGAGCACACCTAAGCCCCTGATAGGAATCGAGATTGTCAAGTCTCCTGTCTAACCTGGGGACAGCAAATAGGTTTCATCTGATGGATGACCACCTAGGGCTTTGTGTTAAGAAGGATTCTGAGGCACTAGTAAAACATACAAGTTTGCAGTGAGAGGAGGCAGGGCTTTGAAGACCATGGCAACAAATCCTAAATAAACGCAGGCAATACACAGATGAGGGGCTGACAATGAAGGGTGAGCAAAAAGAGAATGATCTGGTGAGCTGGGAGCCTCGGAATTCACAGGGCGCAAGAGGGAGCTGATTTGTGAATTTCCTGCTTTGGTACATGGAGAGATTGGGGAGGAAAGAGATGACTGTACCATTTATTTGTTTATTTTCAGTGCTGGGGTTTGAACTCAGGGCCTCACACTTGTTAGGCAGCTGCTCTACCATTTGAACCCCTCTACCAGCCCTTTTTTTGTGTTGGGTATTTTCAAGATAGGGTCTCAAGAACTATTTGCCCAGGCTGGTCTCAAGCCACAATCATCTGCTGGCCCACACCTTGAGTCACTCCATCAGCCCTTTTTTTTTTTTTTTGTAATGGGTTTTGTTTCGAGGTAGGGTCTCGTGAACTATTTGCCCCGGGCTGGCTTCCAACCGTGATCCTCCTGATCTCTGCCTGCTGAGTAGCTAGGGTTACAGGAGTGAGCCACCAGCAACCTGAAAGGCTGTACTTTTTTTTTCTTTTTAAAGATGGCATTTTCATCTTAACCATTTTTAATGTACAGTTAAACGGCGTCAGCTCATTCACA